TAACGAGATAGCATCAACAGAATATTAGCTAATGCTAGCCCAACAGCCACGGAGTTGCACAAGAGAAAGTTGAGTGACTGACATACTGACTGAGAGGCTCCTAAAACGATCGTGCGAGCGATGAGCCGCCAAGCCGTTCAGTCTTCATTCGCTATACTTTTCTCCAGCGATATACAGAGCAAACCCGTACTAGCTCACTAGTTGGCTAACATAGCTTTACATACGATATACACAAAAAACTGCGAACTAACTCGCTAACGATAGCCAAGTGCCCTAGGAAGCTACAGGAGCTAACGCTAAATAGCGACATTTGCTAACGTTCGTTTATAAGCTAGCAGACAGCTAACGCTAGCTGGCTGTATCATTACATTAACGCCACTTACCTGCGCCATCCTCTCCATCCTTGTTGTCTTCCGTTGGCTTGTTTGTCTTTGTTGACGACGACGTTGTGCCTTTATTTCCCTTCTGAGCTCGCCTGGACCGAGTTGAAGTGGCTGTGTTTAACTCCATTACCGTGACACTTCTCCATGCGGCAGCGTGCGTGTTGTTGCGCCCCCCGGTGCCGTCCTGAATAAACTCAACTCGTCCACCAAACTTCCACCTTCACTTTTAATAGTTTATTTGTATTTCAAAATACATATAATTCATTAAACGTAAATCAAGTTAATTTGTGAAGTAAAAAAAAAAGGTATATAAATATGCATTATGCATGATTAATATAAATATGTACAATATATAGATAATAAATAGTGATATAAGGTTGAATCTCATCCACTCGAGTGGAACATATTTAACTGCAGCGCGTCTGGTTATAATTGCGCCAAAATGTTGTATTTTGAGAAAAAATTGAGGAAACTGATCGAGGGCAAGAAATCTTTATGTGCCTACAGGTTTTCTCAAGGTCTGCGTTTACGCCAAATCGACATGATTGCTGATGAAATAGCAGGGAGTTCAGCAACTCTGTCAAAAATGGCCATAAAGGTGAGAGAGGCTTGTGTGATGTCAATGGAAAAACTCAGAAGAAGGAAAGGACAGCATATTGGAGGACGCAGGCAGTTCATTGTTATAGACGAGAGTCACTTCAGGCATAAAAGAAAGGCAGGTATATTTTAATATAAGTATAGCGTTTTGTATAGTCGTGATGATGTTGAATGGACATACATTTCTTAATTTCTTCATAGTTTTCTTCCTTTCCTTCCTTTGTTAGTAGTAATAATTAAATTGAAATAATTAACCCTTGTAGGCCTTTTATTTAGCTATTAATCTTAAGACTTATTGCCAAGTAACAATGATGATTTTTTTGGTTATATGTAACAGGTGGTAACACTTTACTGAAAGGCAGTGTTTAAGGCTAGGTGACATCCTACACAAGTCTCTTATGACTGACATTATCTTACATTTATAAAGGTTTATCACAACAAGTGTTGGTTGTCGTAAAGTCTGGTTCTGTCAAGTTCAAAGTTGACGTAATGAATACGCCAATGTACAGATTTATCAGGTAATGACATTTCACTTTCTGTGTGAAATAACATGTTATGACAACTGATGTTTTAGTGTTGTCATATCTTTTCCACAGCTCTCCTATTCCTAATAGTGTCCATTTCGCATGCAATTCTTAAAACACATCATAGAACTAATAGGACATTTTAATGTTGGCCGTTGAATCACTTTCTAGGGTTAGCAGATCCTGGCACATTTTTTCAACCCAGGTACTTCCAGAAGACAGCAAATGAATTGTTGACAAAAGCAGCCTTTATAACAGTTAATGCTTGTTGGAGCCTTTGTAAATGTTTATGTAGGTTTATGTTTGTTGTCATGAAAGACTAATGGAGGTTGTCATGCAGCTTTATGAAGGCTGCCAATCGGTAAAACATTACCTAAAAGGCTAATATATTATGTAATTATGAGAGTAAGGAACTGATGTGTCATATATAAGCTTTTGCAGTTTAAGAGGTTAATCCCTATCCTGGCTTATTATTCATTAACCATAAGAACCATAAGTATTTCTTAATTTTTATTACTTTGTAACACAAGATGAGACTGGGTGGCAGGACATAGCCATTTAAGCAGTTAATGTGATACTGCTTTCCTTTTAATCTAACTTAGTATGGAAGAGGACGGATGGCTGGGGGATGGAGGAGGAGGAAGTGGGTGTTCGGAATGCTTGGTGTGAAAGTTGGGGACACAAATCAAAGAAAGCCAGTTCTTCGCCTCGTCGAGCGGAGGTCCAGAGGGGAACTCATGCCACTCATCACTCAACATGTCAGGAGGGGATCCACTATCCTAAGTGATGAGTGGCGTGCCTACCGGCAGGCTCTACCTCAGCTTGACTACAGGCATTACACAGTCAATCACAGTGTATCATATGTGGATGCTCAGACAGGGGCTCACACCCAGCATATAGAGAGGGCCTGGAGAACATACAAGGAAACAGTTTGGAGGCTTAGAGGTAACCGGACAGAAGAGCTATTGAAGAATCACTTGACTGTAATTGAATGGTATGAATGGCTAGCAAAAAAGCATCATATTGGGCCTCTAGGACAGCTAATTCATGATCTTGGAAAACTCCATGAATGAGATGCCACATTAAACTCAACCGGACTTTAGTCCTATTAATTTAGCAGGCAACCTGTAAAGACTGTACATGCATTTTTGTACTAATGTTCATGCAGGACAAGTTACAATATAGTTAAGGTTGAAGGTTTGCCAAAAAAGTAAATGCTACTTTTAAATGTTTGGCAAATAGCTATTAGAAAACATTAACTCAAATGTGTCTATTATATGGAATAAAAATTCAAACAACTCACTTGTTCTCTTTTGATAAATTGTATTTTATGGTTGAATAAAATAAAGAATTTGTGTGCTAGCTCATGCTTAATACTAGCAATAGTACTGAGTAAACAGCCTGATTAAAAGTCTATACATTTTTTGTTTCCACTTTAGATTAGGGGCTGCAAAATGTTTTATATTAATGTATAAATTAATGTATAAATGACTTAACAAAAGGACTTCAGTTTGTAAATGACTTATAGGCATTTTTAGATATTCATATATATGGAATAGTTCCCACTTTAGATTAGGGGCTGCAAAAATATTGCAAATAATTTATATGTAATGAACAGGTCCTTTATAAAACATGAGTAAGAAAGTCACTACTGTTTGTTAATGTTTAACAAATCATTTGTAGGCCCAAAAATTTGTAATGAATCTTACTGTGGTTCACAAAAGGCACGTTGAATTAGCAGCTTTGATTTGTGAAAATTGTGTTTTTTAATTTAATGTTTTTTTTTTAAATGCATATGCAGTACATTCACTAAAAGTGAATAACATCCTGATTTGTCAATCATTAGTTATGAAATAGTAGCATATATATTTAAATTACATTTATTGCATAAAGGAAAAGCACTTATCGAGAGAAAAGTGCTTTCTTGTCCACTCAGAAAACATATCCCTACTACTGTAAATAGGCTGGAGTCTAAAGATGGATCTTCAGTCGCCATTTGAAGATGGTGAGGAATTCTGCTGTTCAGTGGAAGTTTGTTCCAGCACATGGGATCCAATGGAAGAGTCTTGATGTTTGTCTTTCATGTGTCCTGGGTGAAGCTGGGCTGTATTTGAAGCTTAAACTGCTCTAGGTCATCAGGTAGGAAGGAGCTGGTCCATTTTTTGGCTTTGTAGGCGGGTGTCAGAGTTTAAATCTGATGTGAACAGTTACTGGACACCAGAGAAAAGAACGCAGCAGTGGGGTGATATAAGTAACCCTTTTGATCATTTGAAAGGGCCTGACTGTAATCAAGCCTTGAGATTACAAGGCACTGGACAAGCACTTAGGTGACCGTCCTAGAGAGGAAGGATCAAATCGTCCAGATGCTGTAGTGGAGAAACCTGCATGACAGGTTTGCAGTGATGGGAAACAGTCATCAACGACACCAGGTCTTCATACATATGCAGACAGAGAATAAGGAGTTCTCCAGGGAGGTGTGCTGACAGTTCTATGTATTATTATATATGGACCATTATAAAACCCTGATATCTTGTAAAGAGGACACGTTGTAGACTGTATTGCTCAAATGGCACCACTGCCATTAATGTATAAAACAATGAAGAACAACTCTTAAATACTTGATTAGTTTATGATAAGTAAATCATAAAGTAGAAGTTTATAGATGTTTTACTTTGAAAGGTTTTTTTGGCTAAAGAACTCCTAAACTTTAAAGTTTGTAAATATGCTACTAACATATGAATTTTTATTGTAGTATGTACATAACTGAATAATAACTACTGAATTCCCGAGCTACTCATCATTTGTTAATCATGAAGTAAGAGCTTATAGGTGTCTCGTAAAGTGTTGTTAATATAATAATTAATGATTTATAACTCTAAATACATCATTAGTTCATGATTAGTTGATTATGAATTAAAAGCTTATAAATATTTCATAAATGAACGTTATTATAAAGTGTTACCGAGGCATTCGTCAAACGTCCAATTAGTCCTTTACTTTTTCTCATTTCCACTCAAATTCTGTGATCTGTGATCAGTGGAGCTATTTTTTTCACCATGGACCCCTTCAAGCATCAAAACATAGTACATCAAAACATAACTGCCTCAGCTAGGAAGCTTGGTTGGAGCCATAGTTGGAACTTCCAGCAAGACAATGATCCAAAGCACATATCAAAATCAACATAAAAAGGTTCAGTGACCACAGAATCAAGATGTTGCCATGGCCACCCCAGTACCCTGACTTAAACCCCACAGAAAACCAGTGGGATGAGCTGAAGAGGACATTCCACAAGCATTGACCTCGGAATCTGAAAGATCTGCAGAGAGTCTGTATGGAGGAACTGTCTCAGAGCCATTGCCATGTGTTTTGCAGTCTCATTAAGCACTATAAGAGAAGACTGAGAGCTGTTATCTTTACTAAAAGTATTAAATGAAGGTGTGTCAACAACTGTGGCACACATGGATTTGAGAAAAATATTATTTCACAATAATATTTGTTTTTTTTTCCTTTCAGTAATTGTTAGATTTTTGCAATGAAGAATGTTTTTACAGCCATTTTGTGCATGTTTCCAGGGGTGCCGATATTCATGAAGGGCACTGTAAGTATCCCCGCTGTTTTGTTAGACATTGATGCCACATGTGAATATGATTTGAACTGCAGTGCACAAACGTTCAGTACAGAATAGTACACGTAAATTATATATGGCTTATTTAGCATATCACATAAAACACATTTAATGTCAACTGTTTTATGCCAGTTTTGATTATAATAAGAGAATCCTTACAAAGATGACACATTTTAAATTATAATGTGATTAATACACAGATAGCATCATACAATATATTGTAATACATTAATCATAATAATAGTAAAAAAAAATCAACATTTCTTGTACAGCTTTGTAAAAAAAAGATTCTGATTCAGATTCTGAGCACTGCAAATACAGGAAATATAAATTATCAAAATGCTTATCCAGCTATTTAAAAATAAGTCTTTCATAACAAAAAATCTACAATATATCTAACGTTTTTTAAGAACAGCCACAAGAATCACACTGTTGGCTCAAATCTGTTTTTTTCTCATTCAATCAATAATTCTCCAGCCATATTCTAATGTATTTGCTACTCTAAATTGTGTCTAATATATCAGTTTTAAAGGACAGATATACCTAGTCATTGTTGGTCTGAGACGAAATTTTGAGCTTTCCTCTGATGCTGATCTTTAACTGATTTTATTGAACTGAGCTATAACTGTTGTGCTTTGAAATTAATTGTGACAACTCACCCGAATCCAAACATTTTTTCCTTTTTCTGATAAAATAAATCATTCTGGTAGTAGCTTTATATCATTTAATGCTGAATGCTGATTTCAGACCCTCAAGAGCCTGGACTTTATCAATTTTGTTCCATGCACTGGGAAACACAGCAGGCTTTGCTTTGTACTCTTCAGCAAACTTGTCATTGTATTTCACAAGCACATACTTCCAGTAGTCTGAGGCCTCTATAGTTCTGTCTGGTGGAATGAGCCAGTCTGGGTAGTAGGTGTGGTAGTCTTTATAAGGATGACGCTGAAAATTTGTTTCATGATTTTTAAAAGTCCCTTTGCCATGTACACTAGATGTACAAACCTCCTCACATAGGATATTAGTTGTCACAGATCTATAGCCACCCAGTCCCTGTGGCCGATGCACAGCTGCATGGTGCTGGCGATGGTCTTTTCCTCCTGCTTCACATGGTGCTTTGCAGAAGGGACATTGCTTCCCACAACCAAACACTCTCTCGAAGAGCTCATTTTGTGGTTTGACAGACACACTGTTCAGCGTTTCAGTGATATCAGATGAATTTGCTATCTCCTCTTCTAGTTGCCTCTTTAAATCATTCAAACACTCTAGGAGATTTTTGGTGAATGGAGTACACAGACTTGTGTTTTGAAAGAGGACTCTATCCACTGTGTCCATGGGGATGGAGATGACTTTGCTGAGAGCTTTGCAAAGATTCTGAATCAGTACTGCAGTGCTTTCAGTATCATTGGGCAAAGGACAACCATCATCTCCAAACTGAGAAGCTTTCACTGCTTCATCAATCTTTTCAACTATTAAGTCCAGCTTCTTTGTTTTTAATTTGCGCAGAGATAAGTCCTTTGAGAAGCACTGAACGTTATGCTCATGTATCCAGTCTTTGACATAAATCTCATAATTCCGAATATATCTGACAAATTCTTTGAATTCTTCTTTTTCCAGAAGCTCATTTAAGATGTTATACTGAAAGTATGAACGTGAGCCATATTCAGTTGAGTATTTGCTATTCAAAATTTCATCAACTATATCAGTTCCGATGGACTGGTTGATGTGCTCTGTCACCGCTGGTTTGAGACACAGCTGGATGAAGTCTTGAGCTTTCCTCTGACACTGATCTTTACGTCTGTATAAATCAATGAAATCAGACAGATATTGACCCTTACTTGCCTCTAAATGTTTCAGTGGATCTTTTTCAGCAAGGAATCTCCTGTGCATTCCGAGGAATTTCCGAGATGCAATGCCACAAATGTAAAGCTTCAGGTCAACCTCAAATGTGATGTTTGTTTTGGAATTTACACTTTTGATGTATTCATCAATTTTCCCAATAAGATCTTTAATGAGAAAATTCTGGTAATCACTTTTGGACTTTGCAGATTCTTCAATCATTCTGCTGCAGTTCTGAATGGCAGTATCTGCAATGTTCTGAATATTTTGCTTTAGATTTCTCCTGGAGAAAACATTCTTTTCTGGTGATGAGAAGTGTTTTTTTGCTTTGACCTTGAATTTGTCAAGCCCATACTCTGTTAAATCTTTAACATTCTCCATGTGTTCAGTGAGCTTTCTGTGGTACAAACTTGAATGCAGTTCCTTCATTATTTCAGAAGGAATATCCCTTTCTTCCAAGCCTGAAATGTTGACTATGGTTGTTTTCCACATGCTCTCGAAGTCAGTCTTCAAATCCTCATCAGACAACTCATCTTTTCTACCTTTGCAGTTTTTCAGAAGCTGCAGCACTTGGTCCTCTATCATAGCAGCCTGTTTCCTGCGAAGGTCCTTTACTTTTGTCATGTCGATTTTTAACTGAAGGCCAACATCTAATTTGTTTTTCACTGTGTTTTGCATTTCTGTCTGAAGGCTGTTGATGTTTTTAATGAAATCATGTTTGTACCTCTCCACCAAACCTACATGCTGATCTTTTCTTTTGTAGTATTTTTTCAATTTGTCTTTCATTTCCTTCTCCTGGGTGGCAATCTGTTTTTTTGCATCTGTATTAAGTGCTTCAACAATCCCTTTGACTGTTTGCACACTGCCTTCTGCATTTGATATTTGTATTGTTGCACTCTCAAGCCAGGAGTAGATGTGCCTTTTGAAAGACCACTCCCATTCTGAAAATTCTTTGCAAAGATTCTCATATGCATGGGCAACCAAGGTGTTTTGAAAGCTGAAAATGAAGTTCTCAAACTTCACTGCCCTCCACATGCTTCTCATCCATTCCAGGAATTGTGGGATATTGAAGAACGGTTCACCGTTTCTTTCTTTCTGGGTTTTTAACATGTTTTTCTTGAAATCAAAAACAGCAACGCTGTAGCCTGTATTAACAGGTGCCATTGGAGGAGTGCCATTCCATAAACCTGGTATATACCAGTTATTCAACTCCATGTCATAATCCAAAACATCAGTGAATTTGTTGATACCTGTTTTCTTCTCCATTGTGGCTGCAATCTGTGTCATTTCATTCAGGTGTTCCAGGAGATGCTGTCTCTCTGTCCTTAACTTGTTATGTGCTGATACACCAGCAACATTCTGGTGAACAAAGTGACAAATTGGTTTTTTACCAAGTTCCCTCATTCGTAAAAAAGCATGCACTGCTATCTGCAAAATATCTTTCATCTCTGTGAAATTCTCCATTGCAATATTGATGATGGTTACATCACTAAGGCCAATCACGAATGTGGCTAGTTGATTGTCATGCTCATAACTGTTATCAAGTTGGGCGAGATCTGCTGATTTCAAACCCTCTGTATCAATTAAGAGGATATAGTCACATGACAGCTCTGTCCTGAGATCCTCTCCCAATGGCAGTAAGAGCATGTAAGCTCCACGAGTGCACCGACCACTGCTAACTGCAAACTGGACTCCAAACATGGTGTTGAGCAGTGTTGATTTGCCTGTGCTTTGAACCCCTAACACTGTCAGGACCAACAGACGACTCCTCTGCCCAACCATCCTGTGAAGCTCCATTAGAACATCATTTATCCATTTTTCTGGAATACTGGATGCATCTCCATCCAGCAGTTCAAGAGGAAACCCTTCCTGCAGGAGCTCAGCAGCCACTGTGGGGAGTTTATCCAATCTTTGGCTTGAACCAAGTGAAGCCTCATAAATATGTCCCATCTCTCTCATGTAATGTTCTAAGCCAAGAGAGCTGTCCAGAAGTTGCTGGTCTATTTTGGCCAAGGAGTCTTTGTCTTTTTGTTGACAGTGTTCTTTAAAATCATATCGAAGGGATGACAGGTACTTACGTGAACGCATGTCCAGCTTGTACCCCATCCATTTGAGAAAGAAAGCCCTCTCAATGGAGTCATTAGTTGTCACTGCATTTATAAACTCTGACATTCCTGATGTGATCTTGTACTTACTTTGTGTCTTCTGAATAAATTTTATTTCCTCCTGAAGTTGGGCTTTGTATTCCTCCAGCTTTGTATCTCCTGCAGTTTGTAACCTGCATTCCTCTTTTTCTATCTGAGACAGTTTTTTCCAGTTTTCACCTTGCAATGGCAGCTGGTTCTTCTTATAGACAACAATTTCACGAACTCCAATGCCTTTCATAATATTCTGTGCTGCTTGCTCTGCTGAGCTGGAGGCTTCGCTGTTAAGTTCATCCACAGATATTTGAAATTCCTGAGCCGTCTTTGACATGGACTCAATATCTAAGGATGGAGAGTTCTCACTGAGGGATTTCTTAATGGTAGAACAGATCATGTCTGCAAGCTTTGCCATATTGACATTCTGACTTTTCACAATGATGTCCTCTTTGGTCAACTTGAGGGCATCCATCACTGTTTGAATTGATGACTTCACATCTGGATTTGTGTCTCTCTGATAATTCACAACAAAGAATAATTTTGAATTCATTTGTTGTGAAGAGACAAACATCTGTTGCTCTCTTTCTTCAAACTTGTCCAGGAACACAAAAATTGCATTTGACACTTGAGTAAGGAAAGCAAACTGTGTTTCAAAAGCACCAACATCCCCTTTTAAATTAGCAATGGCCACTGGCTCAGGGAAGATGTCAATGGTCGTGTTCCCACCTGGCAGATACCAGCACATTTCAACCATACCATTGGCAATCTTCCTGGGGCGACATCCTCCTTTCATGTCTCGGTGACAAAAGAAATCATGGTGCTGCTGCGATTCACTGAGTAAGCAGTTCATAACTTGGGACTTTGACAAGCTACAGTTTCTTAGCCTGACAAACGACACCAGAGGTATTTTCGCACAAACTGCACTCTCTTCAACAAACCCTTTACTTTCAGACATTGAATGGGGACGCCACTCTTTCAGGATACCTCTTAGAGCCCATAACATAAGAGTGCACTGATTCTGTCTACCACAGGGTAACAGAAAGGGCACTGCAAATTGACACATGGACATCTTAAGGGTCATTTCTTGCAGGAGGAAACTGTCTGCACAGGCATAGATGGCAACAATAAGATCTAGGGTATTAGGGCTGACGTCTGTATCGCTCTCAGAAAACAAGTCATTTGTTTCATCATTTTCACTTGCACAGACTGAAGTCCTTGATTTGCTGTTAGCCATCAGTAGTTTCCTCAGAAAAGCCCATGGTATTGTTTGCAGTGAGTCAACCTCTTTATCAGACAGGCTATCCTTGTTGATCTCTTGCAAGGATCTGAGCGAAAGTTTATTTGGGAAATATTCTTCAAGTCCCAGTGTGTGCAAAAATGCATGAAGGGAGTCTGAAAAGAAAAAACAACCAAGGGCTTCTCTAAGCAGCTGGCTGAGGTTCTGAAAATGACAGCTTGCAATTGCCATTGTTTGAAATGTCATGAAAAAATAGCAATGAATGTGGCTGAAATAACTCATTGCTCTGTTTTAGCCTACTAATTATAAAGAGTATTCACATACTTTTGGCCATGTAGTGTATTACTATGAACTCACCTTGGTTCTGCTCTTCATGGTGCTGTGGAGACTTTGACCCTTGGTCTTGTACTAGAAACAATACAAAAAAGCATTTAATTACAACCCTGTTTCCAAAAAGTTGGGATGCTGTGCAAAATGTAAATAAAAACAGATTGCAATGATGTGCAAATCAATAAACTTTATATTTAACTGAGAAAATAACAAAGACAACATGTTGAAAGTGAGACATTTTACTGTTTTTTTTGGGGTTTTTTTAAATATATTTGAATTTGATGCCAGCAACTATTTCAAAAAAGTTGAGACAGGAGCATGTTTATCACACTGTCATAAATAAAGGTACGAAGCTGTCATTCTTGTCACTGGGGTGGTATCCTCAAGGGTACATCTCAGTACCTTTAGTCAGGGAACATAATTGTACCATAATCCATTGAAATTATATTTTCTAAGTTGTGTTAACCCCACAAACCCCATCTTGTCTCTAGGCTTTTAATTTTATTGTTGTTTTAAAACATTAAGTTATGAAAAGGTACAAATATTTATTTTTCACCTGGGAAAAGCTTACACAATTGGACATTAAAACCACTGTTGTGCCTTTCAGGGTACATTTACATTGTTCGTGTACCTTGAAAAAAAATGTACCTGCACAGTACCTGTATTTCTAACAGTGCGCTGTGTTGCATGTTGTAATATATTTGTCAGGCTACGGGACACTTTTCCACTTTGCCTTGATCCATCTTAAATGAGCTCGAGCCCAGAGAAGGTGGAAGCGTTTCTGGATCCTGTTTCTTTTTTGCACGGTAGCATTTTAACTTGTATTTGTGGATGCAGCAACGAACTGTGTTACAGGCAATGGTTTTCTGAAGTGTTTCTGAGCCCATGCAGTGACTTCCACTACAAAATAGTGTCTGTTTTCCATGCAGTGCTTCATGAGAGCCAGAAGATTATGGCCAGTCAATATTGGTTGTCAGCCTTGTCCCTTGCATACAGAGATTTCTCGGGATTCTCTGAATCTTTGAATGTTGCTGACCTGTTGCCAATGAACCTAAATAGTTGTGAGATGTTCCACCAGGTGCTTTTTTAGCATTACCAGTCTTTTTCAATGTGTTGTTGACATCAAATTTGAAGCAGGCATATATTTAACAAAGAAAATAATACATTTCTTTAGTTTTAACATTTGATATGTTTTTGTTGTATTATTTCCAATTAAATATAGGGTTTAAATGATTTGCACATCATTGTATATTCATATAAAATAAACAAATAATAATTTAACATTTATCTAATGATTTCCATTTATCTAATGTAAATCATTCCTACCAGAGTGCTATTTTATTTTAAGAATAGTGTATTGTTTCAAATAACATGTGGGGCAACATTATATGTACCTCTAAAGAATATTTTAAATAAAACCAAAGGAATTTTGATTAGGAAATGGTTATAAAAGATTAGTTGTCTTTTGAAATTACTGATGAACACAGTCAGGATGCTGAAAAGCATAGAACAGTTGAAAATTTGCCAGGAATAGGATACATGAGCATACTGCCTCCACATATAGTGAGGAGGATGGTAAGAACTGCAAAGAGGAACCCAAAGATCACAGTTTCAGAACTGCACCACTTAGTTGAATCTTGGGGTTTCAAATTTTAAAATGCACTGGCCATCTATGACCAGAAGCTGTTTGGAAGTTCCACAAAATAAGGCTTTCCTAAGGGCAAGACAGAAATGCAGCACCTGAACTTTGCAAAATTAGTATAAATGGAATTGTGTGATGAAGTCAGATGAGACTTTCTGGTTATGCACACCATGATCATGGTTGGTGATAAAAATGACTGCATACAGTGAATAGCACCTGACACTCACTGTCAAATATGGTGGTGGGTCACTGATGGTTGTGGGCTGTTTTACTGCTAGTGGTTCAGAAGCTGTTGTGAAAATCAGTGCCATAATTAATTCCTCTAAATAGCAGGAGATTTTAGCCCAAAATCTGTCTGCCTCTGCCAAAAAGCTGAAACCTGGCTGTAGGTAGACCTTTCAGCAAGATAATGACCCAAAACAAACATCAAATCCACACAGAAATGGTTGGAGGAAAATCAGAATCAAACTTTTGCAATGGCCCTCTCAGTCTCTAGATTTTAACTCAGTTGAAAAACCTTTGACTCAAGACCCAAGAATATCAAGTAAATTGCATTATAGAAAGCAACTCAGTTCTGTTATTCTCAGCAGGGGAGGCTGCACTGAATATTAATAATGGGGGTGACAATATTTTTTAAAACTATGTTATCAAAAAAAGTTTAGGCTATGAAAAGTGCTAATAATTGAGATTAAAGCAAAACCTCATTGAGGCACAAAGCCCTTATGGGGCATAATGCTACTACTTTGCCAATGCATACATGTAGCTAACTGCTATGGTTTCCACAGAATTCAAAAGAATGTTGATTGAGTTGATGGAAATGTCATATCATATCATCATATCATGTCAGTATGCCTGAAACCATCTATTTGCTTGCTAGAATTAGTCATTTATTAACAAGTAAAATTCATAATCTAAGGACATTAAAAAAATCTGAATGCTGTTTTAAGATACTTTGAGAAAATAAGCCCTTTTCTAGTAATTAAAACTATTTAGGTGTTAGTGATTTTTAGAATATTGATCAAATATTGATACTGCAAAAGGCAGAGTACAGTTCATACTTTCATCATCTTCTGTCAAGGAGGCCATGTCTCTTATCAGGTCCTGTTAATGTTATAGCACTTCACATATATCTGTAAAAAGAAAGTATAACATAATTAAGAATTAATCTATTTTAACTGATTTTTAAGTATTTAATTAACTTTCATTGACTGCCGAGATCAAATCAGAGCTACAAACATGTACAGAGAGCATAAGCAAACAACAGAAATGAACAATAAATCTGACAATGTAATCATTCTTAACTATTCTGGAACAGAACACTAATTTGATATATACAAAATACAAGATAATGCAACTTCAAATGTCCTAATAGTAGAGCTAAGATAAAAAATTGAGACAAAATGATCTATAAATATTGATATTTTCGTTATTTTACACCTCTGGTACGTTACCCACCTATTTCTGTTCCTTTCCCAATATATATATATATATATATATATATATATATATATATATATATATATATATATTATTTATTTATTTTTTACAGTGGCCAAGATACACATATGCACACATATCTCAAAACTCCAATAAAATTAAATATTTAACTCAAATATCTAGCTGAAATAATTAGCTGAAAAGTTCAGTATATATTACTTTTCATTTTTAGCTATAAGTACTATTAAACCCAGCGATGGGTTGCCTTTGTAACATGACATAAAAACTTGTTGGAAATAGGCATTATCTATCAGTGGCACTCAAGCTACTTATAAAATGAAGATGTATTCATGAGACATTGCTATATAAGGAAATACTTAGCTCACAAATGTTGCCTGACTGGCTAAATGCAGTGCAAAATTCTGCTGAACTTTTATACAGAATGGCAAAGCACGTCTCATTGCACTGCAGGGATCCTGCAAGCTCTCCTTTGAAAAGAATAGGATGCAGCAAGTTTGCAAGAGGACATGAACAATAAGGCCACAAAACATTCACAAAACATTTTTGATATTTGTAAAAAAATTACATTGGCACATGTTGCTGGATTGCTGTGGGTGTGTTTGTGGGCTGAGATCAATGTGAATGAGAAACTCCTTCAAACCTTAAAAACTACAGGCAGTTGCTGTTCTTTTTCATAAAATAAAGTGAATAATAATAAAAACTAAAATAAAAAATAAAAACTTTTTCAGGACAACAGGACATAATTCACATTTTTCAAGCACTGTCTTGTTAAAATCAATGCCCACTGATGTGTTTTATTGACTGATATCAAAATGTTCTTGTGAATGCAGCCCAAAGCCTCCTTTCAAGAGCTCAAGGTTGCTCATGGTTTGTTTGCTCTATTATAATGCTCAGTGGATAAATATTACTTCTTAATGAATATATTTCTCTTACTTCATCATCTTCTTTCCCCTTTTGTTGTTAATAAAAGTGTGTATTAAACAAATCATACATAAGGGAGAAAAACTATGAATGGTGGCATTTTCCCCATAGCAATAGTGAGTGCTCAATACCTTTGCTCAATGCTCAATACCTTTTTTTGACATTTTGACATACTAACTTCAGCCAGAGACATTATAATGGAGGAGACAGGTCCCTTGTTGGTAAATGAATGGGAAAGCTCATAATGCCTAACATAGTGTCTGTTTAAGGAAAAAGTCCCACTCTTATACAAAAGAAAGCCAATTGGCTTGCTGGTAAAGCCGCAAGCAGGACAAGCTTTATTTTGACAATACTGTAGCATAATCACATAAAGCATAACCAAACAGGTCTGGAAATACATGTTTATTTCAATAAAGCTATGTATAAAGCATTCAAAATCTCTATGTAAATTAAATGTACATTAAAATGACTATTGAATTCGAATTTTTATTTTAAGCCCAATACATATTACATTTTATTTTATATTTGCTTCTTATGTACTTCTATATTGACTTAGAATCTGTTGGGGCAAATTGAAAAATTCATAATTGAAACAAAATCATGTAAATCCATGGAAGGGACTAGGTGACTTTGAGTATAATCACCCCTCTGTTTATCTAAAATTTTGAATGAAAGTCTGTAAGTACCTCTCTGCTCAAAGCTAAACTTGTGTTCACACTTTGATCATAATCATAAGCATGCTGAACAATGTGCATAACACTAAGTGGATTTAGGTTAAATATATTTGACATGCATACTTAACCTCTAGAAGCACTGCCACACAATGTTGTGCTTTATCACCTCTTCTCCCTTTTGCAATTTCTCTGTCATCCCTGTTTTACTGATCTTACATCTGCCAATTCCAGTTCCTCTATCACTTCTTCTCACTGACTACTGATGTAGCTAGACTGGCCATCCAGTTCTATAAGGACTTTGACATAGTTTAAAAAAAAAAAACTGATGTAGACATTTTTCATTTTTAATCTTGTTGGTTTAACAAACTATGCACTTTCACTACCACACAGTTATTGTATTTAACTCATCCTAACTACATCCAACAGAACTGACTGGTTGTGTAGAAAGGACAGTTTTCTATTCATAGACATGAACATACTGAATGTTTATTAGGAGGTAAATTACTAAGTAGACAGTGAAATATGGATTTGTGATTAATAATGCATAATGCACTACAGTCATTAATTTAGTGTAAAGTCTAATTAAATTGATTTAATTTTCTACTCCAATATTTTGTATATAAACTTTAACAAATAAAGTTCAATCAGCTTGAATCAAATAAATTAATTGTACATTCTACAAATAGCTCATTTTCTCAGCTTATTTAAGAGTGATTTTGTGTCTAATAGAGAAATGTTTGAATAAGTAAATGTCTGAGCACAGGTTTGAGCAGAGACTACGACTGAGACACGGTCAAAACGTGGGGCTTGTTTTTGGGGGGGGGGTTACATTTTAGTGTTTACAAACTCTATTTTCCTTGAACAACCCAGATCATTTCTTATTTATTTACAAATCATTAATAATATTGTGGGTGGTTGACATTTGCCAATTAGGATCTATCCGTACCTCTTAATCTTCCTCTCTCTCACTCTCTGATCCACTCTCCTGTTGTCCGTCCTCTTCTCTATTACTGTTGAGTGGTCCAGCATGGCTAGTTAGCCATTTTGGGAGACAACATAATTGTTTCACCTAATGTCCTTGTAGCATGTGTATGTAGAGGGAAGTAAAAAAAAAACCACAGTGAATAACTGTCAGAAAATAAGCAATGACCAATGAGTAACCAACATTTCAATAGCCAACTAAAACTGCTTTCACATTATCTGTTATGAGAGGAAAATCAGCTCACTATACTTAACAGTACCTCACTGTGCTCTGCACTTTATTTACTGGCTATCACATTTAATCACTGCTAATAAGAACTGAATCCCCAGCTCTGCTGAGCTCCTGGGCAGTTCCAAAAAACGATATATTCCACAGTCCAATGCTTTGGTGAGGTTCTAAAATGCTGCTTCAGATATAGACTTCTGAAACATGGAAAATGAAGTGTTTTTTGAAAATCACTAAAAAGTTCCAAAGTTGTCACATTTTGTCCTACATAGATTTTCCCCTGAGTGTCACTGAATCCACTGAATTACAACATTAAGTAAGAATGCTGACATCGTAAGAATGCTGGGAGCTGCCTGTTCCACAAAGATACAACACATATCAACAAACCCATGGTCTTAATGAGTCCTTGCACTTGGAAACATTTGGAAATAGGCCTATGTCATTTTAGTGTACAATTAAACAAAACAACAAACGGGAAGTGTGGACTTCGGGACTGGCCGTTCATGTAGAGTTATAGTGTGAGAAGGGATCTCAGTGGAGGGGCCTGATGGATATTTGGGTTGCTGCAATGTATTTTTTATTTTTTTTACAGTCAGAGCAGTGGTTAAGTAAAGCACACTGTTTTAAGAAATCTGGACCGGACAAATCATTAGACACTGGTAACGTTCGGGGCTTAAGCCCCAGTGTAATGTTGCTCATTACAAAAATTAACAAATAAAAAACAAGTTAGACAATTTTTCCATTAAATCTTTCTTTGATTGTTGGGCTAAAATATACTACACAAATTTTGTGACCACGTGTTTTTTACTGCTTAACTGCTGCTCTGCATTTAACAGCGTTTGTTCTGTCTTGATCCACAATACTATCAGAAAGTGAAGCTGTAGTGGAGAGACATCTAACAGAACTGATATAAAAAATTATTGTGTAGAAAGGACAGTTTTTTGTTTACATACATGAACATACAAAAACATTTAACAGGAGGTACATTAAAAATCAGACAAGAAAATGTAGAAGCTGACATTAGTCTTGCTGGCTTGTCACTAATAATGCATAGCACAAAAAAAATTGTTGCACTATAGACTTTAGTTATGTTAGTGTCATTATGTAATGTAACTGAATTTTTAACACCAAAATATTATACAGTTACTTTTATATTAAATTTTTCAAGCCTAATTATCTAACTAGTGTTTTTGTTTCCGATGGAGAAACAAAATCGCCCACAAATGCCATGTAGTTTTTTGTCTCATTAATTATTTTATAATTAAATTATGTAAATAAAAAAAGAAATTACCTTTTTGTCATGGCAGCAGGGAAAGAGCAACCAGAGCCTGAGCATGGGGTAAGAGTGTGAGGAGAAACAGCCAGGAGTCAAGGAGAAGCAGTGATAAACAAGTGTTAGAGGAACTGGAGCTGGGAAAAGAAGTGAGATCGGCAAAACTGGAAAGAAAGATGAACTCGTGAAAGTCATGAAAGCAGTGGTGAGAGCAGACCACTGTACTAGTGTCAACAATTCACTATCTGGCCACCAGAGGTCTCACTCTCCCGCGTACTAGCCCTGTTTCCAAAATCAAGCCACCTGTACCTTATCTCCTTAATCAGTCACACCTTAAATACTCCTCCCATTCAGCGCGATTTATTGCCAGTTCTTTCGTGTCTGAATACTGTGTGTTTTATTTTGTTTGTCTTTCAGGTGTTTTGAACCTCTGCCTGACCTCTTGGAATCTGCTTTTGTTTTTGCCCTTTTGCTCTGTCTGCCTGGCTTTTTGGACTGATTTCTCTGTTACGACTTTTTTTGCTTTGCCTTTTGACCTCGAGTTTAGGACTGCCCTTTTTGTCAATAAATCTGCACATGGATCCTTCTCAAGTTTCTGAGTCTGCTTCGTCGCAGCTGGAGTGCTTCTAGACGTCAAATATACATTAAAAATATATATTTTAACCTAAATCCATTTAGTGTTAAAAAGGTTGTTTAGCATGCATAGTTGTGCCCCTTCAAGCAAAGCTGGCCTGTGCCTATAGTCTCCTGAATAGTAGAAGGGCTCATATGTGTTTTGCTCCCTTCTTTTTATTAGGTAAAATATTTGTTTCATGCAGTGACCTCTAGAAACACTCTTGCACAATGTTCTGCATCACGTCCTCTCCCTTTTCAGTGTCTTCCTCATTCCTATTTTGCTGATCTCACTCCTTCTGCCCATTTCAGTTCCTCTCTCACTTCTTCTTACTGCTTAAATAGGAATTCCACTGATTTATTTTTTTATAAATTTCTGCATAGTTCAGGGGTCATGCTCTAAACAAAGTCATAAACAAAGGCATTCAGAGTGGATTAAAGTGTGAAAAGCTCCTTTTGAAAGATACTTTCTTTACAGTGGTGGTGATAGAAATTAGTTGTCAAGTGTCTATAAATGCTCCTGAAGGTTTGGACTAAAACCTATTTGTAAAAATCCATTCATGGTGGAGAGATATATACAGAATGTTTCAGGGCAAAATAGTCCCCAAAGAATTACCATTATTTTGCAAAATCAACATTACATATAAAAACCCAGAAGACACATGCAGGTCCACTGGTGGTTTTGAATAGTAAATAAATTATTTTGTATTGTAGAAATGGCAATTCCTAATTCCTATCACCACCACTGTAAAGAAATCTGAATTGATAAGATTTTTTTGTACAATGAACCATCTCACATCAGTCCACATTTCAGTGACTGAATTATGCAGACATTTTTAAAAAATCTATGTAATTCTCTTTTAAAGTCATGGCCATTGAAGGGGTGGGCCTTTTGTGCTTAAACCCTAAATGTTTCAGTACCAGCCCAGAATGATTTGTCAAACCTAGAATTATTAAAACATTGTGGTTTCCTTAACTATCACTTTATTTGGGGATTCAGTTCTTATTGCAGATATTCTGTAGTCTAATGTAACATGACATCATAAGACTGGAAAGCTTATCATAATACCCCACACAAAATAGCAAGCTTTGTTAAATGTGATGGTTAAGTTAGTAGCCTACACTTTGAGCAGCTGGTGTTGGTATATAATAGTGTTATTTCTATGTGATGTCAATTCAAGGCAAAGAGTTAGGCTGCTTGTAGCATGTATTTAGCATTATTTGTTTTTCGACTGCTAAATGATCTAATAATTCAGAGGATTCAGTGACATTTGAGGGAAAAATATACACAAGACAAAATGTATCAGATTTGGAACATTTTAGTTTACCACAGGCAGAGATTTTCTAAAACACCATTCATTATTTCTAGAGGAAAAGCTTAGACCTGGAGTTCCTAATAGGGGCATGACACTGTCTACAGAATAAAGCATGACTTCAGGGGTCTATTTGTAGATTATCTGATTTATAGAAATTGGAGACTGCTTTGCCAGCAGTACTGTACTGCACTGATTCAAAGTTTTGAAACCCAGGTTTTGCACCTGACATGATGCTGCAGCTAATGGTATCAGGAACGTTTATATAATCAGTGTGACCTGACAGGTAGAATGAAAGCAAAATGCATTTAAGCCCTGGACATTAAATCCTCTTAATTGAACCCTTCATTCATTATAAATAATCATTTTTACTAAGCTTAGCTTATTTATTTATGTCACAGACCTAAGAAAAGCTTTAACAGGTTTTCTGGGTGTTAACTTCAGAGCTTTGTCTGTTATACACAATGTTGGAAATTTGTAATCAGTACTGTTATATTTTTATTATCATATCTAGAAGCAGCAGAGGCGCAAGTCATTCTGATTGGAAAGAGTTAAATCCAGTTACACTATATGTCCAGAAGTTTGCAGACACCTACTCATGCAGCATTTCTTCTGAAATCAATGATACTAATATAGAGTTTGTTCCCATGTTGTTACAGTAACAACATCTTCTGAGAAGGCTTTACACTAGATGTTGGAACATTATTGTGAGGATTTGATTGCGTTTGGCCACAAGAGCATTAGTGAGGTCAGGTACTGTTGTTGGATGATTAGTTCTGGATCACAAACGCTGATCCCACTCATCACAAAGGTATTGGCTGGAACTCTATCACTACAGGGAATGCAGATCCACTACTCCTCAGCCCAATGCTGGGGGGTCTGTACCCATCTAGTCGATGCTTGGCATCGGACATGGTGACATTAGACTTATATGCAGCTGCTCCAGAGTGTCCCATTCTATTGGCAGTGCTTTTCTATGGAGATTATACAAGCTGTGTGTGCGCTGTTGAACTCCTGTTATGTAATGGATGTACCTTAAAGTAACTGAATTCTCAAATTAGGTGTCTGGACACTTTTGGACATATAGTGTATGATGCAAAGACCATTCAAGCTCATTTCAGGTTTCTGTCTACCATCTCTGCTGTACTGCTGTTTGTATTTGCTAATTATTCTCTGATTGGCTTACTGACAGGTCTACATCTGTGAAGTTTAAAATGCAATTGACTCAGAAGAATCCATTTTCAAAATCATTTTGTCATGGGATAAGCACAGTAGACAGCGAACATGTTCTGGAAAAGTTAGGATTTTTTGTAAAATGCAATAAAAACAAGACTCTGATTTGTTAATTATCTCGAACCTTTATGTAACTGACAAAAGCACAAAGAAATTACTTTAAATATTTTGGCTGACCAGCTTGATTGTATTTTGTAAAAATACACAAATTAAATTAATTTGATGCCTGCAACACATGCAAAAAACGTTGCGACGAGGCAAAACAACTATTTCATTTTATAGTAAATTCGTTTTGGCTAGTTTATGTACAGAGACCTACAGATGCAATATAGCAAACGAAAACTCATTTGTGAACCTGAGTTTAAAGCAAGTTTTTATTAAACTTAAACTTGTAACTAAGTTGCAAATAAACCTTAAACTGAAACTTTGCTTGTTCACAGAAAGTTATTTCATAGCCAGTTGGTTCTACCTAATGGAAATTGTTTGCCCTCAGTGTTTTGTGCTTATGATAATTTTAATAGACATCAGTGTCAGACTAATTAATGACATTCTGTTAAAATATTGGTGTTACAAGAGTGACACTGGAGTATTTTCACCTAAAATGAGTTAATGAAGTAAGAGCCTTGTTACAAAAATAATAATAGGACATTAGAGCCATAATTAATAATTTAGTACTTTCACTTTTCATACTTAAGTACATTTGAAGGCAAATACTTTTGTACTTTTACTCAAGTGGAGGTCTAACGGGAGGAACTTCTGCTTTTACTGGAGTAATATTTTACCTTGGGTATCTCTACTTTAACTCAAGTACATGGTCTGTGTACTTCGTCGTTGTAAATTAAAAGTCAAGACTAGTATGCAAAGTTTTGCCCTGTTTCCAGTCTTCACTCACGTACACTGGCTGCATGTTTTGATCTCCGCTTGTGGCGCTACAGGGGCTTACAGAGTTTTAGTCAGGCACCGAGTAAGAACGCCTACCGAAGGACCCCAGGCCCACGTGTGTTCCTCTCTCCCAGCAGCGATGGCAGACCTTCAGATGAAGCTTCTTCGGAAGAAAATTCAGAAAAGAAATGAAAAGAATAAAGAACGCAAACTACGGCAGAAGCAGCGAGAAGAAGAAGATAATGGTAAAGTTTATCTTATGGTTTTAGAGAGTTAGTTAACTCACTCCGAGCCTCACACCACATGTTTGGGAGACTGAGTTAGGCAGCGTGTTAAACAGAGCGCAGCTCACACTTCGCTGTGTCGTTTCGAGTTCATTAACTTTGGCTCTGCTCCGGTGACACTGCTAGTGTTAGTGATATAAGCTGGCTAACCAGCACTGTAGTAGCTGCATGCTGTGCTGCCTGATCGGTTATTGAGACGTTCTGTGATATGAGTGAACTCCGCTACTTCACGGTGCTCTCATTGCTAACGCAGGCATTAAATTGCCCACACGGTTCTTGTATAATCATAGAAAAGAAGTGCCAGCAGAACTTTTTGGAGCAGCCGCAACTGAGCCTGAAGTTACCATGCTCAGTGCAAAGTGCCAGACAGAGGTTTTAAAGCTCCTCAGCGTGGGGCTGTGGAGCAGTGGAACCGTGTTCTCTGGCGTGGAGCATCATCCAGGACCTTTGGGATGGATTTAAGTGGCGTTTGTGATTCAGAACTAAACATCCAACATCCATGCTTGACCTTACTAGTTAATGCTCTTGTGTCTGAATGCTGTCAGATCCTCACAGCAAGATAAATGAAAGCTAGATGTTCGAGTGTAAGGAGAGTAGAGTCTGTTATTGCAGTAAACTCTACAGTTAATACTCTTGATTTCAGAAGAAACGTTGAATGATTAGGTGCTTTGGTCACATAGTGTAGCTCAGTAAAATGTTTAGAATGAATTTCCTTTGGTGTTTATGTAAGTTGGACCTGGCACTTGGAAGGAAAAGAGAAGTGACTGGTGTGACATCATGCAGGTGGAGGGGTCAGTATTTATGGGTGATTGTAAGTCACTGATTAACACTGTCAACTTTGTGTAATCCAGTTTTACATTATGTCTGATAGAGTCTAAAATCTTTGAAGAATGCAGTGCCAAGGCGGGTGAAGAGGCCGCAGTTCCAGACACACATCAGGACGAGCCTCAGATAGATCAGAAGGGTCTGTCCAATGAAGAGGACAGTGTCACAGAGAACAGCAGCAAGAAGAAGAAGAAAAAGAAGAAAAGAAAACTGGATGAAGCTGATGATGCCACCAACACAGGTGAGTTTTTAAATAGTGTGTCTTAATATAGCGTTCAGTTACATAGCTGAAGTGCTAGGAACTTATTATTCTTTGAATATTATAAGAATTGCTCCTTGAAGTAGTAGGGCAATCTGAGATCTTTAGGTCTTGTTATTGGTGCTTGAAATGGACACTTTCTTTTCTAGATGTGAAAAAATCCAAACAGGGGAATTGTGAAGGTGATGGAGATGAGACGATTGAGCCCTCAGAGGCAGAAGACAAGCATTCGATTGAGGTGAGAGAAGAGGAATGTGAGGATGGAGTGGATGAAGAGGAGGGTGATGAGGAAGATGAGGGGCCAGCACTTCCATCAGGACTGACAGGTGAGCTGAAAAGTGAATGCTGATGATTCTTGGTTTAAGCCAGTGTGTAGTGGTGGGCTTTGTGATCAGTATTTTATGTGCCTCTGTCTATTTGGCATACATGGTCTGATGTTATCGCCTTTTCCTAATGTCTCTCTGGTTTCTCTCAGGAGCATTCGAGGACCAGTCATTTGCGTCGCTGGCGGAGCTTGTGAGTGAGAATACATTGAAGGGTGTTAAGGAGATGGGCTTTGAGTTCATGACTGAGATCCAGCACAAAAGCATTCGCCCCCTACTGGAAGGGAGGTAAGACAGCACCTGAATTATGGTATATAAAGAATCCCTTCATCTGTCTGTGGGTCTAATGAGAAGGAATTTGGTTAAAAAATTGGCTTTATCCCTTAAAGATATGCTATTTCTCTCTCTACAGAGATGTGCTGGCAGCTGCTAAAACAGGCAGTGGGAAAACTTTAGCTTTCCTCATTCCTGCCATAGAGCTCATTTACAAACTCAAGTTCATGCCAAGAAATGGTGAGTCCACGCACAGTGATTTAGGACTAGGGTCAGCTCAAGTACTCTTAGGAATGCTTCTGAAATATACAAGTATTCATGAAGTATAGCTCTTTTTGTTTGTTGTTGTTGTTGTTGTTTTTATTACTATTATTATTATTGTAAGGTGGTGAAGTAAGAGCCTCAGTTAGTATGTGTTTCAGCATTTTTCTAATGTCTGTGACACCAGTCCTCAATGAAACTCAATGAATCTGAGGATGAGGTCAGTTAATGGGTTTAAATAGTGTAGAAGTTTATCTGTCTTTTCTAACATTTCTTCCTCTGGCAGGTGCTGGAGTGCTCATTTTGTCCCCAACGCGTGAGCTAGCCATGCAAACTTATGGAGTACTGAAGGAGCTCATGACCCATCACGTGCACACATATGGCCTTATTATGGGTGGCAGCAACCGCTCTGCCGAAGCACAGAAACTTGGTAATGGAGTCAACATCTTGGTGGCCACACCTGGAAGGCTGCTTGACCATTTGCAGGTTAGAGCACACATGCATAGTATGCATGTCACATAACACAAAACTTTTCTATTGTAAATCTGAAAGAGAGTCAAAGTATGCATAGCATGATCCCATGTGTGTTTTAGCGTTGATGCTCAAAATTGTCACTATCATTCTGCGTTTAGCTGCTGGCGTTGAAAGAAAATGTTGTTCTGTGCCTCATAGTGGGATGTGACCAACGGTAGCATGCGGCTTTTGAATGGTTACGTCATTGGCTAAAACGGATGATTATCAGAGGAGAGCTTTAGCAGTTGTTATTCTTTATTTTAAGGTGGAAAAAAGACAGGAGGGTCCTCTGTACTCTTTAATCTTTAGTTGCATAATGCTGGGTGCACGCAAACTTCGACAGGGAGATGTTTGGCATCCATGTTGAACTCTCAATGGAATGTTTCGCTGAGCGCAGCTGAAATTTTCTAACTAGCTGATTAGTTGTTCTAAATACGCAGACACTCTAAAGACCCTCCAGGTCTGGAGTCTGATTCACCTGGCATTCATGATAACATTTTAACTCTGCTTGTGTGTTTCTTTTTCTCTCTCTGGGCAGAACACACCTGGTTTTATGTATAAGAACCTGCAGTGTTTGATTATTGATGAAGCAGACAGGATTCTGGAGGTTGGCTTTGAAGAAGAACTGAAACAGATCATAAAACTGCTGCCAAGTAAGTTTGCTACATTTGATAATTGACTCTGACTGTGAGAACATTGTCACTCAGTACTGAAGGTTTGAAGGCTTACTGTGAACTTTTGTCATTTCAGAGAAGAGGCAGACCATGTTGTTCTCAGCTACACAGACCAGGAAGGTGGAGGATTTGGCACGGATCTCCCTGAAAAAAGAACCGCTATATGTGGGAGTGGATGACAACAAAGAAACGGCCACTGTGGATGGACTGGAACAGGTAAACTACAAAAATTTCAGAAGGAGGGCAATTCAGGATGTACATTGTGTCTTCAGCCTGTGTTTGTGATGACCTGTGTGTATTTTGACTTAGGGTTATGTAGTGTGCCCATCTGAGAAGCGCTTCCTGCTGCTCTTCACGTTTCTAAAGAAGAACCGCAAGAAGAAGTTGATGGTGTTTTTCTCCTCCTGCATGTCAGTGAAGTTTCACTATGAGCTGCTTAACTACATCGACTTACCCGTCATGGCCATCCATGTGAGTCACCCTGCAGAGTTTGTGCACACACCAACCTCAGAGGCTGGGCACAACAACTCTAATTGTACATCACATCACTTTGGGTGTATGATGGGAATTGTAGTGTGTAAACAACTGTCTTCTTTTGGTTTTATAGGGCAAGCAGAAGCAGACAAAGAGAACCACCACATTTTTCCAGTTCTGTAATGCAGACTCGGGCATCCTGCTCTGCACTGATGTCGCTGCCAGAGGGCTCGACATTCCTGAGGTGGACTGGATCGTCCAGTATGACCCACCCGATGACCCAAAGGTAATGCAGTAATGGACTTTTAGTTTAGGCTTTTGCTAACCTGTTATAGGATCTCTAGGTTATGACCTATAGGTTGTTTGTAAGAACAACTCCAAGTCATCTAAGTTAATGTTCTGTGTTTTGTCTTGTTTCAGGAATATATCCACCGTGTGGGCAGAACTGCTCGAGGTATTGATGGCAGAGGACATGCACTTCTCATCCTCAGGCCTGAAGAGCTTGGCTTCCTGCGTTATCTCAAACAGGCCAAGGTACCACAGAAACCTTTAGAGCTACTGTACTGTTCTGCTGTTAACTTACGTTAAAAATATTGAAACAAAACTTTCATTGTCTCTTGGAGAGATAGTGTATGCATAGATTCCTTACATACTGTTCTGTTCTGCTTTTTTCATTTAAGGTACCATTGAGTGAGTTTGAATTCTCCTGGAGCAAGATCTCAGATATTCAGTCACAGGTGAGACTCAGCAGACACATGCTTTCCAAAAAGATCAAAAAGCATCTACCACTGAAATGCAGTCCCTGTGCATCACTTGGAGTAACTGAAGGTGGATAACCATACTGTTGTTATTCTCTCCTGTTTTGTCTCTTAGCTGGAGAAGCTGATTGAGAAGAATTACTACCTGCATAAATCAGCTCAGGAAGCATACAAGTCATACGTGAGGGCGTACGACTCTCACTCCCTCAAACAGATCTACAACGTACAGACGCTGAATCTTCCCCAGGTGGCGCTGTCATTTGGCTTCAAAGTACCACCCTATGTTGACCTCAGTATCCTTTCAGAATTGTTCTGTTTGGACATGTGATTCCATACTCCAGCACATCCTCACTCTCTTTTAGTCCCTTACACATACTTGAGTTATGCTTGCAAGCTTACACGTACTTAAGAATTTTTAAATGATGATACTAAAGCATATTTCTGAGGGAAGGAGTCTGTTTAAGTTCCACTTTATTTATATTGAGTCAGAGATTTTCTGTGGTTGATTTCATTTTTTATGCTGATTCAGCACTTTGCTGCTTTCCATTTGCTACCTCACTTTGGACCGCTAGCATTTTATTTTAGACCCAAAAAGAAAAAAAAAGTTGGGGCTATGCTATTCTGCACATTTGTGACTGTCATAACCCAGTATTTCTCTGAATGTCCTTAGGACAACTGTTTGTAGCAGTATAAAATGTGATATGTTAAAAGAATGTTTCACCAGAAATGTCATTTATACAGTTTTACCTCTTACCTCAACCATAGTTGATTGGCCAAGACTGGTTTGGTGTCTGAAATCTGGTTCTTTAGTTTTGCAGTGGAACCAAGAGGCAAATGAGGTAATAGACTTCTGTCACCTAGAATCTTTTAGGTGACATGGACTTATTATATCAGCCTTGTAGCTCTACTGCAAAACTTGGGGTAGGATGAAAATTGTGTAAATTAGATTTTTCAGTGAACCATTCCAATAATATGAAATTGCTCAGTGTTCAGGGGGAAATTTTGTATAAATTATTGTGAAATTTTCTTCCAGGTTAACTAATAATCCATTTAAAACTAGATTTTTTTCAAGTGACTTACCTGTGGTGTTCCTTAACTGGCATCCTCCCAGATGTGCATAGCAGTAAAGGTGCAAAGCTGCAGAAGAGAGGAGGCGGCGGAGGCTTTGGCTACCAGAAATCCAAAAATGTGCACAAGGCCAAGATCTTCAAGCATGTCAACAAAGGAAAAGGGGACCACAGACAGTTCTCACGCTGAGCCTGCAATTTTTTCGTATAATTTTTCTACTTAAGCTTTTTTTTCTGTCCTTATTACTTCACCATGGATGGATGGAAAGAGTCATTTTTTCCATAATGTGGCTGGTTTGTGAAACATCAGGTTGTTACTTAGAATAAGTATTCAGAGAAGCTCATCAGCAGAAGACTGAACTTTGGGCTGTTTTCATTCCCTATCTCTATGTTGGGGAAATCTCTAATCTGCTTGTTCATACGGAATCCATTTGAATTGTACATTGTTTGTCCTGTCCTCTTTATATTGCTGAACTATTGATATATTAAAGAAATAATCAAGAACCCTTACCTGATTTAAAAATGTGCAGGCTACTTTTTATTGTTTAAACATGTAATAGAAGATGGCATCTTCCGCTATCTGAACGCTTAAAGTGGCACTATGTAATATTTTTGTTAAAACTTGTAGAGATAGCATTACTATGGGGGGAAAAAACACACAAACTGTCATATGCCTTTACACAGGCTCAAAAAGAAGCTCTGGCTTGATATTTAGGTCTCAAATGCAAATTCAGCATTATATTGATGAAGATATGATGACACAACCTGATAATTCTCATCCTTAGAAGACATCCTTCACCAGGTTTTGACTGGGGTCTCTTTAAACACTTTCTCTGCACAAATGATGTTCTGCACGTTGCATGCAATTACATATTTCCACCAGAGGTCTCCAAATCCTAGTGTTGCTTTAAGCCATTTATTCTAAAGCAGGGGTGTCACTCAACTGCTAAAGGGGCCATATTAAATCTCAGCAAATCTGTGGGCCAGCTTTGGTTTTGTTTAATTTTTACTTAACAGTTTGCCATGACCCGAACGGGGCACTGTTTATTCAAAATATGCCAAAACTGCAACAGCAAAATAGGCACCGACTACTTATTCAAAAATAATTCTAAATAAAAATAAACAGTTTTAAAAACTGCCTGTTTGCTCAGACACCAGGCAGCTTTTCTTTTTGTGTAACTGCTGGCCCATGGATTGTTGTTGTTCTATGTTGCAGTGCATGCTGGGGACTGTAGTGCATCTCAGGGTAAAACAGGCTACTAGGAATAGAAAATTAAAATAATTTTGCAGGCCGAATAGGACTGTCACGGACCTGACTTGGCCTAGTGGCCTGGGTTCTAAAGGATCGTTTTGGAACCAGTTTGTGGCTGTCTAGAGATGGTGTACTCGGATTTAGCGATGTATTACAAGACTTCTGAAGATGCAAATAATCATTTATTCGCTTGACATCAGATACAAAGAGTCAAATAGGGTAGCTGATTTAAGTAAGCAACGCACAAACACAGATTGTGTTAATGTTCATGTTTAAGTACACAGGAGTCCTGAAAGCACAGGTCTACTAGGGAAATCAGATAATGCCTCAAGTCCCATCTCGTTCCATACAAATGAAAGCTATATTAAACAATGTTTTTAATAACTAATATCAGACATTCACAAATGGCCCACATATCAATATGTATGCACATGGAGCACAAATGCTATCAGTTTGATGAATCCTGTTACTGTCTGCTGGCTTGAAGGGTCAAGCACCTGTAAAAGCACAGGGCTTCACCTGACACTGGAATACAAGCAGCAAACCTGAAGACCCACAGGTTCTACACTGGAAAAGCTACTGAGTTTGAAACAGACCATTAGGATGCCCCCTTCGCCCTCAGCTTGGACAGCAGCATCTCATTCTTGCGGCACTCCTGTGGGACAGAATTGGACATCACAAAAAAGCACTTAATCAGGTAGGGATGCAGCAATAAGGAACCTGTGGATGAACTGCATTATACAGTATTTTCATGTACGTGTCTGGCACTGCTGATAAATCTACAATTTTGAAACTAGAACCATCTGGATTAGCATTACAGGGAAATATAACTTGTGAAGAATTACAAACACAGTGAAATTTATACAATTCAGATGTCTTACTGCAGTAGCCCAGCAACAGCTACCCAGAGTACAATAAGAAAAAACGTCAATTTAAAATTCTGGTCAAATCTAAACATCCGTCTGATTTTTTTAGATAATTTTTAAGCAAATGTCTGCCATGATTTCAATAATCAACGTGGACCCCTATATATTAGGTTCTTTTTTGTATTTTGATTTTCAAAATTTCACTTCAGTTTGATATATATGTGTTGAGCTATAAATTATAGCACCTGATGCAGAGTGAAGGTCTGCACCAAATAGTCTTACCTCTTTAAAGTCTTTAACAGTTTTGAAATAGAGTCTCTGTTTGTCCAGCAGTTCGAGATAATCATCATTCAACTGGTCTCGCCTCATCTTATTCTCCTGCTTTTTCTTCTCCATCTAGACACATGGCAGATTAAAAAAAAACAGTAAGTGAGAAATGATAATGTTCACTACGTTTAATTACATTTTTTTCCCACCTTTGTTTAAATTATGTTTTACCTTTATTCTATTCTGCTTGATTCCTTCCACAATCTGTTCCATCTGCCTGAGGAACTGCTCTTTAGCTCCTGATGATGCCATGGCCCTGAATACATACACAAAAAGCACATTACCCACACTTCTACAGTGTGCATTAAACTTTTTAATAAATTCAGATTTAATGGGTGTATTTCATTGACGTACAGATAGAAAACATATTTGATGTCACTGTGGCATGGACTGCCTAATTTGCTTCAAACTATGAACAAGATTGGAACATCTGACAGTATTAGTAGTCAGTAAAAACATGAGTATGACACATATACTCCAACACCCTAGATCCAGGTTCATGGCTAATGCAACTCTGCTACATTCCACAACCCAAAACAGTGTCCAGTCATACATTTGCTCTGTTTAGTAGCCTGCCCTTGGTTCTGGTAATACTCACTGCTGGAAGTTATCATGGATGGAGTTTAGCAAATTCACCTGAGGACAGAAATCCAAAACAGTTAGGCCCAGTACACTTGAACAGACTTCCTGACTTGCTTAAAATGTGATTGCCTAAATGCAATTCATCAACTGAAATCGTTGGTATATATCAGAACAGTCAGAGCACAAATTGAATATCTGATTTCTGACAATGTAAATATTTGAGTGTCAATATCAATATTCCATAAAATATCAGATACTGATACCTCCTTCTCCAGATACACCTTCTTGTCATCCAGAGTATTGTAGAGAGTGAAGAACTGTTTGGTCTCTTTGTGTGTTGCGGAGACTGAATGGAAAAAAATGTCCAACATGTCTGACTAAGGTTTGCCAAAATGGTTCAATGACACCAAGTAAGTGTTGAGCTACTATGACCAGAAAATATTAAACCTCACTCATGTATGAATAATAAATAGACAGACACACACACCTTGGCTGTACAGTTCAATGAAGCGTTTCTGGTACTGTGTGAGCTCAGCTCTGCTGGGAACCTCATCGATCTTCCTCTGCAGGATGGCAATCTCTCTGTTCCTCCGAGCCTAAAAAGAACGACAGAGACACTGAGTCAAAGGGCTCTCACTCAGTCTACAGAGCAAATTCTGTTTTTTCAAATTTACCATCAGCAGACGGATCTTCTGTAGCTTCTCCCGGTCTGTATTGTACTGCTGATCTATCAGCCGACTCCTCTCCTAAAACCCAGTAGAGACAGAAGGGGTAAAGGGTGAGAAATTTGGTTTAATAGCTATATAAGGCTAATAAAGAAATACATAACTGAATGAATGCATAAATAAATAAATAAACTTGCCAATAAGTGCATTTTTGCTTGTAAAATCACCACATCATTAGAATAGATGTAGACACAAATACAAAAAACATACATGAAAGCACTACTTATTCTATTAATATTATTTGTATTTATACCAACATCAGGGGTTTCTAGAGCAAATAAGGTGGCTAAAACATTTACACAGTAATATATAAACATATACACACAAAAACAGTAAAATCTAACTTGAATTGTTTCCTAATGAATCAAAATCAAATTTACGCCTCATAATTTGCTTTGTGTACACTCCAACACATTTGTAAGTTTGAGTGATTTTAGAACCTTCTGATCATCAGCCTCATCGCCAAACTCCATCTTCAGGTCTTCAATACTGTGTTGCAGCCGCGTCATCTCCTCCTAGTCATTGAGAAAAAAAAAAAAGGATATTTATTCCTCTCAATTGCTGCTCCATAGGGTCACACATACACACATACAAAGTACAGCTGCTCCAACAGTGAAACAGTAAACAGAGGGGAAGGTTGAACAGAACCTTCCAGAAACAGCTAAATGTAGCAACTAGAACTGTAAATAAATGAAATAATTGATGTAATGTACGCGGCAGTGTGTGCGGAACTCCTGCTCCTGTTGTTTCAGATTCTCATTCATGGCCACCAGAGCACGCAACTTCTCAAGCAGACTGCAGGGAAAAACAAACAGCATCAGTTCACTACATACATGCAGCGAACATACTACTCTGGATATGTAAAATATAACCACTGCATATCAGACAAGCAATATGCATCTTCTCTAGAGCACAAGAATCCACAGTACACATTAGAAGCTGAAAGAAAGATATTCAATACTTACCCAGAGTCAGCCTGAGCCTCCACATCTGCAAGAGCACTTAGCTCTCTCTCCAAATTCTCACCCAGATCTGTGGCCTAGACAGAACAGATACACCCACACATACACTTTTTAAATCTTCACACTCATTACCATAAGCAGCAGCAGCATCCTCTCTCTCTGTTTAACCTCTCAGCAAAAATAATTTGCATCATATCAACAAAATCATCAGCTCCTAATTCTCTCCTAAATACAGTCACATTGATCTATGTATGTGTGTTAGAGCAGTGGCTATGTTAGCACGTGTTTTAAGTGTATTGAATGCTTTACCTCAGTTAGTTTGCTCTTGGCCTCCTCACAGGCAGCTCTCACTTCCTGCTGCCTGGCCTCCATCTAAAACACAACATATCACACCTTTGTATGAAGTCTATCAAACAATACAACAGCCAGAAATACCCACTTTTACCAGTGATCTTCAGCATCAGATAAATCTTTATAGAGACTTTATTAGAAACTCCTAGCCAGAAACTCACTGGTCACTTCATAATGAGGTCCACATACGAATGGGTAGTATGACAATATTTATTGTTACCAATTATGGCACAACAAACATTTCTGAACATATCATGGATATTATCAGTACATGAACACTGATCAGCTGCATGTTTCTGAGAGCATAATAAGTCCTTATTAACTGGATTTACTGTAGCTGAGTAGTATTTGAAACAAAAATCTGTTCCAATTTATCAAAACTTGGAAAAATTCAATATTGAGATAAGTATTGTGTAAATATCATGATATTACATTTTTTTGCCATATTGCACAGCCCTAGGTCTGCCTACCTTATAGATCTGCTTTACAGGTATACAGTTATAGACTGGAGCCCATCTGTCGTTATGCAAAATTTGACAGCCTCCCTCTACTCCATTCATGACAGACTACTAATTATTTTGGTGGTGGACCACTCAAATGAGTGTGTCAGTCTGAGATTTCTTACACACATCAGAGTCATTAAGCTGAGAGTGGTCCACCACCAAAAACTATCCAGCAAGAGCAGTTCTGTGGTCAGAAACTGCTGGAGTACTAGAGGATGACTAAAATAAAACTGTACACAGCAATAGCTAGGCTACTGTAGGTAACTGTAATCCAGCAAAGTTGACCATCACAGTTGATGTTTCTAATAAAGTGGTCAGTGAGTAAGTCTCACCTCCTCCAGCTCTTTGGTCCTCTGTTGGATCTGTTTGTTGAGTGATGCAACCATGCGACGATGCTGCTGCACAGGGCCATAACGCTCCGGACGATCCTCTGCAGAGCGCTCTGCCTGTAGGCACACAAAACACAAGACACATATGCGTACTGTATATGGACAGATTTTTTTTTTTCTTATATATATTACACTACTGATTTAGATCTCCTAGATTTCAGAGTTCTAGTTAGCCTCCAAACAGAGCTGAGAATATTTTAGTCCAATGACTGAGTCTGTATGTTAGCACAAGTGAGGATAACGATGAGGCGACTCACCTTCTCAGCGTACTCAAAAGCAATCTGCTTTATTTCTTCAGACTGCAGGCCCACAATCTGCCCCACTGTGCTAGCGGTCAACCTTCCCTTCAATAAACACAGCCATAGATAATTAAAGCAAACATGTGGGAATATGCACTTGAAACCCAACCAAACACTTCTAAAGTATCTTCATAATCTGCACCTCAACTCTGTAAATAAGAGCCATTTCAGGACCTTGATAGATAACTTTGTCTTTTTTTGAGTGTTCCTACAGCACTAAGACAGCAAGTCAGAAGAGCTATGAAGTTTACTGTACCTCCTCAGTTGCCATGGCAGCCATGCCAGTCATCAGGGCTTTGATTCTGAGCTGTAGGGAGAAATGGTAAGGCCAGAGTTAACACAGATGCTCCATAAAGAAATACCAGGTTTGCTATTGTCTATATTAATCCAAACCTCATGACGTACTGAGCTCAATGATAAACTGGATAGAGATTCAATGCAATTGCTGGGTATTGGCCACAAATAATGATATTTAAGCTTGAATCCTCAAAAATATGTTAGACATTGTGTTTATAAACACTGACTTTTATCATTTTTAATTGCATTTATAATTAAGTGACAGAAGCAAACATGCTTCAGTTTCCAAAATATTAGAGCACGATTTCATTCAGCTCAGCATCATACGAGAAACAGAACAGCCAGTTTAAGGGTAGCTTGGCCAGGTCCTATTCCTTCCATTATTTCAAAATCATGCATAGAAGACACTAGAGGGTGCCTGAGAGCAAATCCTCAATGAATGGGGGTGAATACAGCTAATGCTAATTAAATATTTCAGTGTCGGTATTGGCTGGTGTGGATTGTTGGTATCTGAAATGAAAAAGTGATGTCATCTCTACCTTTACTTGAAGCCAAACATAAAAAAAATTCAGCAGTGTTGAGAATATAAGTACATTATACATAAATACATTATAAAATGGATGTACCATTTACCAGAGGTGTTCGTGTCTCAAAATTGATGACTTGAGACACTACTCAACAAAATCGAGAAAGACTTGCAACTCAACTTTGACTCGGACTTGAGCCTCATGATTCAGAAAGACTCGAGAAACGTGGGGAGGCGTCTGACTGCAGATGGGACTCTACACAGTCGCTTACTTTTCAAGTGAATGGATTCGTTTCCTGTCATAAATTTGACGTACAGCAAAGCAGTCAAATGTCTGTTACTGTGCTTATGCTTGGCTTATTTTATTTTGGGTTACAAGTTAAGCGTTAGAATTCGCCTCCATAAGCTTGAAACAAGCAAAGCATCAACAGCTTCAATAATCCCACACTCAGCACTTAAACTCCAGTCTTACTGCAGAAGCTTACCAGGCAACAGACCATTTTCCTCACAGGAGCAAAACAAAAGAAGCACAGCTCTCTCTATCTGACCGATTTGAACATCTTCTGCAGGTAAAATAAGCGCAGCAGAAGTTGACTTGTTATTCACCAGCTTCATATTGGAATTTGCCATTCCACCTTAAATAGATAGCATTTATATTCCGGCGCCAGACTGCTGCACCATTTAAGGTGGAACAGAAAATTCGAAGAAAGCAACTTCTGTAAACCTTGTTCAGTTTTTTTAGTTGTTATGGTTTCTGTCATCGTCTAAATTCAGTTTTTAGTTCACCTACTTAATTAGGACTCGAAGATTAGGACTTAGGAATTGAGACTTGCCTGTAAGGACTTGGGATTTGACTCGGGACTTCAGTGTCAAGATTTGAGACTTACTTGTTACTTGCAACATAGTGACTTGTTCCAACCTCTGTCATTGACACTTATCAATTTTGCATAAAAGCTGCAGTGGAACCCATTCATTTTAGACTTTCTCAGAAGCACCCTCTAGCATCTGAACACTCCTGAGCACGTTTGCTCACTCCAAATTCTCTGGCACTATCTACATTATCTGCTCAGGTCACATGTCCTCTCTTGTGATTTACTGGAATAAGAAGATTAGGCCCTATCTTTGTGGGTGTGTACAGGCTGCTGCATGCAGTCTACAAAATATTTATATCTTCATGACTTCATAACATGTATTTTAGTAATTTCATGCCCGAGTTTTCATGTTTTATGGTTTCTCCAGCGTTTCAGGGTGCTAATTTACTTTTCATTTTTCCTTTTCTAGAACACCATCTGGTTGGTGAAGATTTTTTTTTACAGCCTGACATTTAGTTTGATACATCAAGTTTTTGTTTCTTACTCTCATCTACACTTTTAAACATACATGCTCATAAGCGTATCCATACGCCTCCAGCTGAATAAAATAGCTTATGCTATATAAGAAAGAAAGAAAACAAGTATCTCCAAAATGGTAACTCTACAAGAGAAGGCGACAACACTTTTTAGTTTTACATTTTAAGACAGTGTCCCATCTACTTTGGGTCCTTTTCTATTGGTCCATTCATCAACAAGTACTCAAATGATGCAGAAAAAAATGAAGATTATAAATGGTCAATGCAATACAAAAACATATATAACCACACTGAAATATGAACACATGATCAGCCCCTTTATGTGACTGACCTCCTCAGCTGCTTGAAGGTCCTCCTCTTCCGACACTTCAGCCATGCCAGGGGGGACACTTTGTGTACCATGAGCCATTAGCAGCTTCTTCTCTTCTGCCTGCAAAACATGGCAAACATGTCATTATATAATTTTAAATATTATATAGTATTACATATATATTATATATATATTTTCTTTTTACAGCAAAGCCATTTTAGTTATTTTTTCCTACAAAGATCATGTTTTATTAGACACAATAATCAGGACCAGCCAAAATGTGGTGAGATATATTACTCACTTTGTCTTGTTTTGAGTGCTTGCTAAATCCATAACGCCTGAAAAAGAGGACTTAATGTTAAGACAGTTCTTGATCAAGTGAATCATTTCTAGTCACACACATCTCAAAAAAAAAGAAAAAAAAAGCACACACACATTAAGCCTTCATGCTTTTCACTGTACACTCATGCTTCTCTGCATTCAAGTCAAGAAAAAAGGGCATGTCATTTAAATCACCAAACATTTGATACAGCCTCTGTAATCAACACATCTCAGTCTCAAGGAAGCCTCACTAACTGGTATTTAGGTACTTAATGTTTTTGTATCATAAGTATCATAAAGCACTGTGTTCTTGGGTGACCAACATCTTCTGACTAAAGCACACACACATACTTACTGCAGGTAGAAGGAAATGGTTAGGCATGGACTGATGGAGAGGAAAGGAGATGGAAAGGAGAGGTGAACGTGAGAACAGAAGGTGAGAGAGGTATTGGTCAGACAACTTGTCACACTTAGATTTGCGAAAGGACTGTATGGCCACGTGTGCACTAGAATAAACAGATTTATTACATAAGAAGTATACTGAACAAACCCTCTCAATATTTTTAATTAGGATTGTTAAATACTGAGTTAAAAAGTTGGCAAGAGATGCAAGGGATGAGTGACAGGCTGAAATACAGAAAGGTGATAAGGATGAGCCACAGAGTAACTGGAATTAGAAAAGGTTATTTGTGTGTTACCTGTTGTTCTCCAGCAGGACCTGTATGTTTGTGAGTGTACCTGTATCTGCTAAACTTTGCAGTGTGTTTGTGCATGTATGTACCTGCCATACTCCAGCAGGGTGGAATGAACTCTGGACTCCTCATCCAGCAGCTCTCCTGCATCAGCCTGCCGTTTATATCGCCTCTGAGGAGCATACACTTCCTAAACACACAAACACACATACACGTCAGCATAAACTCTTTTAAAGCCCTTATATCGTACTTTTTTGTATTTAATGTATCCCCTAAGGTGCACCTATGACTGATAAATGTAGGTTAACTTATCAAAATAAATAAATTAATAAATAAAATTATCATTTTAACATGACAAGCTGGTTTTGTTCCTGTGCATTTAAGACTAATATATGTAAATGAGCTCTGTTCTGATAGGCTGTCCTGTATAGCAGTTCACCTAAAAAGCAGTTCAGGGTGAAACACTCCTTATAACACTATCATGACTGGGAGGGGCTAAACTGCTGTAGGCTGAATAGGTGGATATGTAAATGAGTTGGTTTTCATGACACAACAAAAACAATGGTTTTAAAATGGGCTGTTCTTGCAGCTTAGGTTTCATATATAGACTGGAGACTGAATGGTACACTTTCATACTATTTCTGACTCTTATTTATAAGAAGCAAAGAAAATGAGTATTTTCATGATATAAGTTCTTAATCAAAGTTTGGTTCCAGGTGTAAGTAGCTCATTTTAAGAAGCAGTAATTACAAACTAGACATAGTGAACTGAAACATTGGCAATAATAGTGATATCTTGTTATGTTTGAAGCTGTAATGTCAAATGCACCCAAGTACATAAGGAATTAGGGTTCTTTTTTTCATTTTCCAGCTTTCAATAGAGTTGCCCTAAATAGCATGAACATTGCAAAATGTTGCTTTAAACTCAGTGTGAGAAAGTGAATGCACCTTTAGGTTGGTGTTAACATAGCACAGCCTTTCTCATAGCTATACTAGTGAAAATTAGCATTATCACAGCAAATTAGGTCAACTTATACAGTGAAAGTTTCTTAATTAAAGACTGTAATGAAATGTGTGGCTGCTGCATGTTTGTGATTATATGACAAAAACATTAACCACACACAGTCCAGTTAATGGTGAAGTTATCAACCTGGAAAGATCAGTTTAAAAATGGAATTTAAAAGCCAACTTGGACCAACGGGTTTGTTAATATTAACAGTGACACTAAACGTGTCTGTTTTGCCTTACTGTAAATATATGGAGGTACACGCTATTTGAGCATTTTGAAGTTTCAAAACTGAAAGTCTTTCCAATATTTTGGCAGACTCTCAAATGACTCTCAGGATTCATAGAAAATCCTGTTGTACCAATGCAGTGCTAATGGTGTTCTCCACACACAAGGACATTCTTTACTACTGTGACAAAACATTATTAAATCCTGTACTGGATGATTAAGATCTGCTGTGCCTGGACAATCTCGCAGACAAATGCAAAAATTTGAGCTCTTCAGCAGCCATAAACACCATTAACAAATGATTATACGGTTTCCGAGACTTGAAGCCAAATCACAGCCCCAATTAGAATGCATAACACACAAAGACTTTAATATTCCCTGAGAAGTATAAAGCTTCTACATACATTACAAACATCTCACACACAGTGTGTAAAACAAATGCGATACTCACAGACACCTCCTCTACTGTCCTCACTGCTTTTTGTTTCCTCTGCTCAAACTCCTCATCCTAAAACACACAGCAAGAACACAGAAACATACACATTTGATCAGATCAGATCAGAAATGTTACAGTTATAATATTACAGAGAAGGCTGCTAAATGTTAAGCCTTGTTTATTACACTGTGCTTATAATCCTGTGCTGTCTGACTTTAGTGAGTACATGATTTTAATGTGCTCTCACCTCAGGAAAGTTGTGTGTTTTCTGGAACTGAGAGATGGAGTATGAGCGCACATAATCTCCCATTTCCTCCCGAGTCTCTATCGCTCTCTTCACCAGCCACTGCAGCACACAAACAGAAACAGAAACATTCAGCATACATTTTCATGCTGGTGCAAGCACAGTTTAGTGGCTTAACCCTAGGGCTTTGCTAATGTGGATGGATGTAAGTGCATTTTTTCCTGCTTGGGTTCAGTTTTGGTGGCCTAAAAATTATACTGGGTGGATGTGGGTGGAGTCAGGAGCGTGTATCATTCAAAATCCACTGCACAGCGGAATTTTCAAACCCATTTGGGTTCAAGGCTGCACTTATGCTACCACCTCCCCAGACTCAGTCTTAGCACAAACGCAAGATCAAAACAGTATTTTCCTGACTTCAAGCGCAACATGATTTTACAGATGCACTATATTTATATCACAGTAGTTCAAAGTAAATAGGCTTTACCAAATTACTAAGCAAATGCTACTGACCAAATTATTTTATTTTACAAACATAGACAAATATCTCTAATTCACTAATTGTGAATTAGACAGTTGATGCATCATCGCATTAAGTGAATCAACAGAACAAATTCATTTAATAAAAATTTGATTTAGTAACTGATTTCCAGTTCTACAATCCGATTATCTGAGGCACATGCTTTATATAAATACATATAACCGCACACAGGAACTGAGATGTGAACTAATGTGTCAATTTTTTTTTTTAAATTGTACGGTTCATGGAATATTTTTGTCCATAATGTGGTTTGACAACTGTAGCCCACTCTTAAACCATATTGCTTGGCATATTATATTGCTTTTATTTGTTTTATGTCAGCTTCTTTCAACGTTTATTTCTTTTTTCAGTTTTATTTTTCTTAGCAACATTTACCTGATTTTAATTCTGTTTTTTTTCCCCACAGTATTTGCTTCAGTTGCTTGTATATTAAATATTATATATTAATAAAGCTCTTTGTGCTGTTCTAGTTAAACCATGCTATTTAAATTTATTATTACTTCAAATTTTTATAACTATAATTATTATTATTACCATCATTCATTGCAATGATTATAAATACTATAACGACTAAATTATTTACTGAACATTGGTGTATTATTATCATGATGCCATTTTATGAATACAATAAGCCCCTGGAATTGCTTAATTACAGTGATTTTCACATGGTTAAGAGAGCACTTTTCAAGGTCCAAATACCCATTAATCATGGTAAAATCACTGTATCGCACAGCCTTGAGTGCATCACTGCTTTAAAATACCAGACTCTCCAAATGAATTGCTGAGGTTTTAGCCAATATATAACAGCCTGAGTCCAGCAAAAACACTCCAAGCACACAGTGATTACGGTTGTACACAATGGACAGGTGTGTGTGTACTTGAGGTTGTAGGCACACTCACCTGTATGACAGGGAAGATGTGGATGAAGTCAAGCCCCTGGATCTGATGGGGCTCTAGTCTGTGAGGGCACTTCATTCTGGGCAGCACAGAAACAATCTTCTCCGTCAAAGCTCTGAAACAGAATATGCATCAGTCATCTAATGACATTCTTCAAAAACGATACAAAACCTTTGTAGTAGTAGTATCCAACTTACATCTTTTGACCGATGGTGGAATTTTCTTGAAAAAGCAGATCAACATCTATGTCAAAGTTGCACGTTGTGATACACCATGTCATCCCTCCAACCACCTATTATAGGATCAAAAAGAAGCAGGTAGAAATGTCTCAGAAGGCTAAGTGAATATTCCTGATGGTATGTTTGTAGTGGGGTGATCTCAAGTCAGTTTTCTGGTCTGACAGAACCTTATCAAATGGTGAGAGTCCCTTGATGCGTGCTCTAAAATAACCAGCCGCGAGTAACAGCTCCAAGATTTCAGCCAGCTTGATGCTCTGTTCCTCATCTTCACGCGTCTCAACCTGTAGCATAACAACACAGTGTTGACTTTGACTTTACCTGTGACTACATCTGTTGGTGTTGTTGAGAGGCCAGATGTCACACTATAGGCACTCCTGAACAAGATCTGTGTAATTTGATCTTCAAATCTGGCAATATGTGCTATGAATGGAAAAAAAAACATATGTAATTGCCACCTAGATAGTTTCCTAGATACTTTAAATACAGAACCAGACAGCAGGTTTTAAACATGAATCAGATGCTGACCAGTCAACAAATATCTAATGTTTCAGAGAAAGAAACGGTGAGAAAAGTGTTGTAGCTCCATCAGTTTGGAAACCTAGATGTTGGTAGTCATGGATAAATTTAATTCCAAAAAATGAACTCAAAGTTTATGATATAACATAAATTTAAAAATGTGGCTGAAGTTACCAAACCAATCAGAGAGAGAGGTTTACAGATGAAGTGTGTGCTCTTTATAATCTGTGCAGTTATGCTAACGTTAGCGCTACATCATTAGCACTGATATGAGAGTGAGAGCCACACACACTGACATTTTAGCTCTGCTGTTTCAAACACACTATAAACCACTCATACCTGAATGATGTTCCCCTCCTGATCGTACTGAGCACCAATTTTAGACCCTGTTCTCACTCTCTGAAAAACAGAGACAGCCGCCATGTTGGGTACGTGTGTCACATGACAAACGCCAATCACGTGTGTGTTCGGTATTACCGGAGAATTTCTATGGGGCTGGTCAGGCGCTAGAGGGCGCTGCAAAGACAGCCTAAAATTAATAAGGGCTTTCGTGGAACTAAGGCTAGAACTGAACTCAGCAGGAAAGAAGACTAGGGTTGACTAGGGTTGGTGACCACTGCAATCTGTAAATAAGTATTCAGTTTTATAGAGACAAATACGGTCGCCTTCTCAACACTGAACAAAATAAAATATTATATCACATATGCGTTAGAGGGACGCAACCTAATGCATTTCGTTTTTTATCCCATGCCAACACAAATACTTAAAAATATGCATTTTTAAACATACTTTGTGAAACATGGTAGATTATTTTTGACCACAAACAGCAAATATCAGCATGATAAATTATATTTTGTTTAAATAACATATATAGTATGTTTTTGATGAATCTGTGCATAAAACTTTCCAGAAAATCAACAGTTTTGAATTAATATGATGGGACATTGACTTCTCTCATTGTTTACTCTGGTGGGCTTAGTTGTTTCCTTGTGGAGAATGTACTTCAGCCTGGCTAGATTTCATTGTGAGATTTCTTTACATGCTTCAAAAATCTGTCAATAAGAGGGAGATTAAGTCATGTAGGACTGCATTCTTTGATTTATACACATTTTGGATTACATAAAGTAACTATTATGGTCTTCAGGGTGAATCTCATGAATCTCATAAAAAATCACAGATGACTTTGAGGATACAAATACATGACTAAAAACATGTTATACTTGTTTAATAATAATAATCTTTATTTATAGAGCAGTTTTTATACTGGTGGCAGCTCATAGTTGTTTACAGACAGGTATTAAAGCTTAACAGTAATAGAAGAAATTATGAGTATTCAGTTAAAATCATGTAAGGCAGACAGAACATATTGAAAAAATAAATACCAAAAGAGAGGTAGAATTATAATTAAAGCTCAGATGTTCCTTAAAAGTGTGCACTGAGCTGGACTGTCTAATAAAAGGTGGAACTGAGTCCCACAGTTTAGAAGCATAACAGAAAGAGGCCTTAGAACTACAGAAAGTGTGTATGATAAAATTTACCTAGCATTAGTTTGTGCCTCATGACCTTGTAATTCTGGGGACCCAGAGATGTTCTTTGTAAATATGCACACAGGAACAAAACATGTCAGCACTGGAACCTTTTTGTTCACCACAGGGTGCAATAGAAGTAAAACCACCATTCATTTTTCCCTTAGAGAAAAATGGTTTAGACTTGGAGTGCCTTCTTAGGGCACGTTGTCCACTACATAATGACACACAACTGCATAGCTCTGTAACTCCATATGATCTGTCATTTAAGCCACAACTGGCACACTTGTGATCCTGCAGTCCTCGTTTGCACATGTCTGCAAGGCTGTAGGAAGTCCCATTTCTCATTTTGGCATTCAAAGTGGTGCTCACGAGTGCACCATGTGTATGAAGTGGACTCAGCAGTGGTCTCTACCTGAAATGCTTTGAGACATAAGAGAGGACCAATCAGAGTGAAGAGGTTTGTTTACAGCTGTCTGATCAACATATTGGAGAAGAAGATATTTAGATGTGAGATAAATGCCTCTCTTTATTAATTTACCTTGTCACTGAGCTGCATTATGCTTGTAATCTGATTTGTGCCACTGCAGTTAAGCAAATGAACTCCTTTGACAAAAAGAGTAGGAGAGGGAACATAATTTTTGCATGCAGAGCTTGCATATCGCACAAGTCAGCACCAAACACATACTTTTAAACAGAACACTAGAGCCTTCAAAGTCACTTGCTCTCTTTGTCCACATGTTGATAACATCACCAGTATGCAGTCTTGAAGGAGGACAGGGCTTAAGGCATCATTTGGGACAGGGCCAAAGAGCATTTATTCTGTCTCAGGGCTGTCTGTGACTGTGTGTGTGAGAAGCAGAGGGAGAAGGCTGGAGGAAAAGTAATTCCTATCCTACGTATTTAATTGCAACAATTTTTTTTTTACTTGTTCAGCATCAAAGATAAGATCCCTTTCATAGAATCACACAAAAAATCGCTGCGCTGTGTTTTGTGCTGAACCCAATGAGAAAATACAGATCTACACATTGACTGCTATACAGGACATAGGTTGTTGTTTATACTATTGTGTTGTGAAACAATCTGGAAGTGTTTCTTAATCCTGCTACGAGGGACCCACTGTTCTCTGCCCTGACACACCTGATCCAGCTAAACAAGGGCTTTATAATCAGATGAGTTTGATCAGGAGTGTTGAAGCAGGGAACAGTGCAGTACTGTGGGTTCCCAGAAGCAAGATTATAAAATACTGACCTATGAGAATAAAGGGCAAAAAGTTAGTTTCCCAGCTACATGGAGTCTTTTAAGTCCTGATAAATTGTTTCAACTCATACTGTCAGAGCGTCTTGCTCATCTTGGTTGGTGGGGGTTGTTGTGCACAGATTAAATGCAGTCTAAAGTCAAAGACCTATCCTGTCCAAGAAAAAGGTGAACCTGACTGGATCAGAAACAAAATTTGTTGGATCAAAAATCACAGCATATTTTGTGTATCAAAGCAGGACACCTGAATAGAGCTTTTGGTATTCTCTAGTCCACTATTTGTGTTTTTGGTTTAACATTATTCTTATTAATGATTGACTACACAGAAGCTAGAAAGGTTCAAATTACATGTTTTGTTGATTTTCTGAGAGAAAATAACTGTAGACATCCGCTACAGGGAACAAACTTCAATATGGCATTTTCTACAAATCTCAGTATATAATTTATATTTGTTTGCTGAGTTTAACATACTGGAAGAAATAAAACAAAGTATAAAATATGTCATAACTTTGCACAGGCCACATTTTTATTTATTTATTTATTTACCTAATTTGTTAAATTCAACAAACAAACAGTAATTGTATGTAATATGCAGAAATGTATTCTACGTATAGGATGTGTTTATTTATTTTCACTTTAAATCAACAAACCATGTAATTTGATTTTGATATGTCTGTATTATTAAAACATGAATAAATGTGACATTTTATTCTGATTGTTTTTCTAGAAAAGCTTTTTCTTTCTCATTGTTTGGCGTCCCAGATACACCAAAAGTATATGTGTTGAAATAGCCATAATTTCAGAATTAATCTATTTTGTTTCTTAATTTTTGTTTTTTTTTTCTTTTTGTCTAATGAGAAAGGTGAGAATGGTTGAAGATCATCGCTAAACCAAATTAGGCAATTTCATGGTCTTTATGTTACAAGTCAAATTCATGTTTATTTGCAGTCACTTTTGAGGAAAAGTGTCAAGCTGACAACACATCATCAAGTATGTTCTTTGATCTCTTAAAGATGGTGGTCTACAGGACCCCAAACAAAACATGAATATAAACAAGTGTGTTTAAATGTATTTTGATTAATAAAGCCAGAGCTCTGAAGTCTAAACCTAATTTCAGACTGCTGTGATATAGAGTTCCTTTACACGTCTGTAGACATATTAGGGCTTTAAACAGCACATCTACTAAAATTTACAACATACTGAATATTGTTGTTGGTAAACTATGCCTTCTGACATCTTAACTTTATTTTTTTGTATGTATGATGTACGGTATGTATTCTCCAATTGTGAGTTTCTTGTAATCTCTTGAAAGATATTAATTTAAAGATTATAAATTGAAATAAAAATAAAAAAGAAATGTACTTTGACACACTTATTATAATACCAATCTTCCAACTGTGTAAAATAACTGATACAACTCGCGCTGAGCATGAACGAAATGAATTAATGAGACAATCACCAGATGTTGAAGGTTCATATTTCAAAGTTCTATTTTATTTTATTATTATTTTATTTATTTATTTACATTTTTATATATATTTTTTTTAGAAAGGGAAATAATTACGTCACAGACCTGTAATCTCATTGGCTGACGATTTCAGCCAATCGCAGTGCGGCAACGTCTGTGGAAGCGCAGCCTTCGTTCTGGTGTGAGAGTGTAAATAAAGCTGACGTTAGCAGGTTAGCTTAGCGGATATTGTAGTGTTGATGACTACATATTTATCTTCAGTTAAGATAAAAACAAACTCAAAATGGTGGGTGATTTGAATTTCCCTTTATTTGACGAGAACGACGTAGCGTCGGTTTGAATAGTAGCTTTGGTAATGTATGCTAGACAGGTAAAATGAACTGGTTGCGCTGTTTTAGCGAGCTGGGTTAGTTTGTGAGCCAGCCAACCAGTAACCTGAATTAGAGCTAACGTTAGCTACGGTTGATGTTCAGTTTAAACCTAGTAGAGTATAATAGATAGATAATAGAGTATAATAACATGCAACGCTAACTTCATCTTAATCTGAAGCGTATGGCTAGAGAACCTATGGCTAATATAGTTAGCTAGATCTCTGATGGGCCTCTGCTTGTTGATGATGTGGCCTAGCGAAATTACGAGTCGGCTGATTAGCCAGGCGCACAGCTGGGTGCTTGCCCCAAATGTTTTATGCTAACGGTAGCTTTAAGTTAGCAGAATGAATCTAACCTTCACGTGCCTTGTTTTCAATGGTGTATGATGTCTATACATTAGATTAGAACGCGATTAGAAGATTCAAACAGTTAACTAATCGCCAACGTCCTGTTACTTTCGGTCACTTTCGCTCTCACAGCTGCAAGTGCGATGATTTTAATAAGTATCCTCTGTTGTTGCATGGAGGCGTGACAGAGAGTAGAGACTGGCTTTTGTTATAGATCCTCATACAGTAATTCTTATTAATCAGCTGATGGAGCCAGCTTGAACTTTTTTTTGTAGTAGTTTACACACAGAATTCAGAATTGAAAGTTTTTGTAATATACTGTTTGTTTCATGATCACTGAATTGTGTTTGTTTCTTGTTCAAACAAACATACCAGACAACAAATAACAGCAAGCCCAGTGCTGTTTTCGTTTCTATTTCTGTTTGCTATCTTTTTCTGTATTTTACTATGATTATATCTCTTGAGCCTACTGACGTTTGTATCTGTTTTGCAGGTGTGGTGTGAGCTCAGCTGACAGTGGCGATAAGAGTGAGTAGTTGTAGATTCTGTGGATTTTGCTCCGTCACAGCAGCTATGGCGGAGGCTGCCAGATTGAGTAGTAATGGGACGGCCCAACGGGGCCCCTACATTAGTGTGATAACGAACCGCACAACTAACCTGCTGATCCGCGGTGCCATGCTGTTTGGTGTGGGTGTGTTTCTAGCATTGGTACTAAACCTGCTGCAGGTGCAGCGTAACGTCACCCTCTTCCCTCCTGACGTCATCAGTAGCATCTTCTCTTCAGCATGGTGGGTCCCGCCCTGCTGTGGAACAGCATCAGGTAACACTCACTCACATATACACAACTTAAAGAGGGTAGTTTTTGTTGTCATTTACATTATCTGTAGCATGTTCTCATGCTCACCACTCCCCATATTTCAACCAGACACAGTCATTAGGATTCGCAGCCATATGTTCACATGTCAGCAAACGTGATATGAACTGAGTGCATACTCATCAGTTTAAACTGAGGCAGATAAAGTCTTGAGGATGTCATGGATATCATCAGTGTTTAAAGAACAATGACCAGCTGCATGTTTCATTACAAAAAGAGCACAATTAGTCCTTTTTAATTGATTTTAGTGCAGCACAGTATGAGAAACATTCAATAAAAATCATTGTACTTTTGATAGAAGTTTTTTTTAATATGCAAACTACTGGTGGAGCTTCAAGTATTTTGGTGTTCTGTTTGTACCATGTTATTCACCTCTAGCCTTCAGTCTTTAATTTTATGGAAGTTCATACTGAATAAATCCCTTTGACAGTGGACGTTATTTAGCAATCACTGTCAGTTAATCACATTATTATCTCAGTGAAATCATAATGTAAGTGTAATGTATTACATAGTAATTTTTTGTCTTTTGTGTGTTTTGTGAGTTTGAAAACTTTTATTCCTCTCTTTCCTCGTCTCCCTAGCTCTGATAGGGCTTCTGTATCCATGTATAGACAGGCGTCTGGGGGAGCCCCATAAGTTAAAGCGCGAGTGGTCCAGTGTGATGCGCTGTGTGGCTGTATTTGTTGGCATCAACCATGCCAGTGCTGTATCCTTTTCTCACCACATGAGAGCAGCACCTACATACTGCTCTTTCTTCAAATATACATAAACACAACACCAAGACCACCAGAAAAATGTTTGAATGTGTGTGTATTCCTCCTGCTCACTAGAATGGGCATACAGAAAGACCCCTCACTGTACTGCAATATGTAAATACATGAAAGGAAAATGAAATGGCAGTATTTCTCTCTTCATTTGTTAAGGGAAACTTTTACAGCGTTGCCTGTACATAAATCATTGCTAAAGGACAGGATGAGGTGTGTGTGTGTGCACGTGTTTGTGCATCTTGGGTGTTTTTGGTGATTGAAATACAGTCATACAGTCAGAAATGCTCACAGAAACTACATAGAGTTTCGTACAGAGTGCCATTCACCATTATTAATTGCTTATGGAACCTGGCTGTGTGCAGTGTATTTTCTTTAACCTGGCTATCAGAAGGTAGACTTTGCGAATAACGTGCAGCTTTCTCTGACCCTGGCCGCATTGTCAGTGGGGTTGTGGTGGACATTCGATCGGTCTCGCAGTGGCTTTGGCCTAGGAGTTGCTATTGCGCTGCTCGCAACCCTTGCTACACAACTACTGGTCTACAACGGAGTGTTTCAGTGAGTGTACCTCTCTGTATTTATCGCTGTCTTTCTTGATCTGTTTCTCTCTTTTCACTTTAAGGAGAGTTTCATGTCTGTAATATGGCTTTTTATGGATGCTCTGATGTGGAAATTGTGGGTGGATGTACATTTGCCAATGTAGATACTTACAGTTTTCTCATTTTAAAATTATTTATTTTTACCTAAACTACCATTACCCAGTAGTCAAGAATCACATTCTGCTCTTCTAGAGTACAATTAACATAGCATCAAATGTTAGTTATTAGAAATATCTGTGAAATGTAAAAACCTGTCTTAAATATTTTTAAAAACTTTGTGTTATGTGTTGTTACTGATATGATTTCACTATCATCAGCAAAATTTTTAATAAACAGCTGTTGTGTTCTGGTAAATGCATGTTAATCGCTTGTAGTAGGATTCTGCGACAAAACAACAAGCAAAGGTTTAATAAACCTTCTTAACAACGATTGTTAACAAAATTAGAAAAGCTTCAATAGTTTTGGTTGGGCCTGGGGCAGCAGGAGAGCCGTCAGAGCAATGCGAGTAGATGACATATACATCTTCCCCACTCAACATTTTAAATATATTTTGGTGTGTGTGTGTGTGTGTGTGTGTGTGTGTGTGTATTCACAGGTATACCTCTCCTGACTTCCTGTACATCCGCTCTTGGCTGCCCTGCATTTTCTTTGCCGGTGTGATAACCATGGGCAATATAGGACGACAGCTTGCTCTTGTAAGTTCACACACAGATGTGCAGATGTGCAGTACATGCAAGCTCACACCCTGTACACCTGTGCTCAATAAAGTCAAGAATAGCAGCAGTCTTCGTCTGATGTTGTTTTAACAAATTAAGTTTCTTTGCATAAAATTATACACAGTATAACACTGACTCTGTGTTTTTGTGTTTTGTTTAGTATGAGTGTAAAGTTGTTCAAGAAAAGACTCATCAGGACTAAGAGCTTCACGACCAGGAACAGGGTGCAAAAATGAGGAAACTTGCACAAACTTTTTCAGTGGTAGAATGATTTAAGCATGTGCACTCTTACAGAAGATAGAGGAGGAGATGTTGTCTGTGATTTTAAGGTGGGGCAGCATGGGGATTGGTGCTTACTCATTGGCTGCCAGTACATTTGCACCCACCCTCTTCAGAACTGAAGAAAGCTGAAGCTCAACACAACTAAAACCTTTCTGCCCTCTGGCTTCAGCCTTTTAGAGTGTGTGAAACGGCATTAAACTGTCCACAGCAGCACCGTTGAAACTCTGGGCTGTGATGTGCCAAACTGACTCAGACTGATCCAGCTGTACTTACAGGAATATTCACACTTCACGTCCTTGTGGTTTATATCCCTACTCTTATTTGCCGCTGTGGTCATTCTCTTTGAAGGTGCTGTTGACCAGAGTGTGAACATGAGCTACAGGCAGAACATGCGCAGTTAAGATTACAGAGTGAAAACTAAATAGAAATAGAAACCCTAGAGTGGACATATACATTAAGGTGTATATAAGGAAGAGGTAAACATTTAGAGCTTTAGTCCCAGGGATGTCCATTCCAGGAATTTATTTCTGTGTTCTGCAAGCGAAACGTACATTTACAGTACAATTAACAATGTTTACATGTTCAGTATGTTTCTGAATAATTGACCCGCAGATATTTCACACTCACTAAAACATGCGACATGACAGGATCCTGTGTGTGTGAAAATGCAAGAGCACAGTCAGTGTTAAACCAGGTGTGTATTAACCTATAAAACACTATTGCCCCTGAACCAGCTTTTCCTCATAGCTCCGTTAGGAACCATACGACCAGTTCTGTTTCCCCACATACCATCATACAATACTGTGCAAAAGTCAGAGACCTTTAAATGCAAATATGTACATTTAAGAAGGGATAAAAGCAGAGAACAAGGACTTAACACCTAAATATTTATATTTTTAATTTATTTTCCTTTGACTTTCCCCTTTCCCCTTTTGACTTTCTTATGCAAATGGCTTATCTCATATTTAATCTCTCAGAAATATTCCTGAAAAATGTGTACTTAATGGCTGTTTTGACAGGAAATTACATAAATCAAGAGAGGTCTCTGACTTTGCACAGTACTGTACCTTATACAATGGTATGATAGCGCTGGTGAGCGAAGAAAAATGAACACTGATTTTGCTTAAATTTAATTCCACTGACATTTGCCACAGCCTTAAGATTACAGGTATCTTTATGAAAGATGTTTGACTAATTCAGTGCTTTTAAAGGGACCCATCAGAGCATGTGGTACTGAAACACATTTATGCTCCTTACTAACCCTGAAACTGATGAAGTCAGTGTTCAGAGGTTATTTATTTGAGGGTGCTCTGGTTTGCAATTATGAAAAGGAAGGGATATTGTTTGTTGTATGATCTTGCTTCTTTTTAATTTCACCAAGGGGGAAAAAAAAGGAAAAAAAGAGTGGATTACCTAATGAGGGGAGACTTTATTTTGCAAGTGTTATGCTATGAAAAAAAAAAAAAAACAGTATGTTATGATACCATTACAGATTTAAGAAAAATGATTTTACAATAAATGCCTGCTATAAAGATGGAGTTGCTGTATTGAAAACCTCTGTACTTTTCTTTTTCATCCCATTTTTGACATAGTTACCAGTGGACATTAGAATTGGTTCAGTCACTGATCAACTACAGTCTTGGACTAAATTACTTTGTTAATGGTGGCTGTTAAGTGCAGCAGTCTGTACGTGGAAAACTGGACCAATGTTCTATAAAACATGCAGCATAAAGAGTTGTATAGCTTCAGGTTATGGTTTAAAAAAAGTGAAACCTGGAGTTGCAGGGTTTTTTATTGATTCTTGTCTGCATTTCAACATTTGACTGGAAAAATTACCAGCTCTGTTATTAAATAAAAAGATTTTTTTGGACTGCATTTGCCATTTGTGATCTTTAACCACTAAACATGTAAAGAGTAAAGAAGGGGGAGTTAATTTATGGTAGTTTCTCTCTTACAACTGTTAAACATGTTTTTTTTATTTCTCCTTTCTGTGGCAGTTTGTTTTTCTGTGTCTAATATGAGTAGTTTGATTATGACTAATGACCTCAGCAGGAGCTCCTGGTAAAGGCTTAATTTAAAAAAGAAAAAAAAAGTTTGATTTTTTTTCCTGAGCTTGTGTGGGTAATTCATTTAACTGTCTGTCTGTGTGTGGTCCTGCATAGTTACATAGCATTGGAACAAATGCAGGGCACTGAGTTACCACAGAGTTATTCATGACAATTTATACCGCTGACATACTCGTACACATGCTTGTGTTCTGCTATAATCTGCACACAGTGAGAAAGCTCTTGTCTAGATAGTGCAAGAGATCAGGGTCTATAATTTATCAAGCTTCTCAGAGTAAGAATGCCGATCTGGGATCTGTTCATGCCTTTTACATAACACTAAACAGACGTACATATACTGACGAGACCTGACCTTAGATGAGTGTTCTCACTCTGAGAAGCTTGATAAGTGTGGGCCCTGATCAAGAGTTTTTAGGTTTGTCTGTAGTAATTATATAGTGTTATGTAACATTTGTGTGGGTTTTTATGCCTAAATTAGTCATAAATGATTTTAACAGCAATTTTCCAAGATCTTTTTATCTTTTAGAATTGAACAGGCCCACATCTTACATTTTTCATGCATTTTATTTTTTCCCCTGAGGTCCACTTATGATAATATTTCATTCTTACCAATCTTTCCAAAATCTCTTTATCCCATACAATGATATTTTGTGTACTGTGCATTAAAGACTGGTATGCTTAAATAACCTCTTTTTTGATCAGCTATCCAACACTGGGCCTCATTCAAAAAACAATCAAGGCTGAAACGCTCTTTTTAACTTCAGTGTGAGTTGTTGGGGCTAAACAGCTGAACAGACGAATCTATGTAAGTGTGTCAGTTTTCATGACATCACGAAAACAGTAAATTCAAGAATTCGCTGGCCTATATAGTCTGGGGAGTGAATGCTATGTTTTTCATGAAAAATATATTTTCATGAGATGGGCCCTTTAAGACTGGTATACGTAAATGATCTTTGTTCTGATTGGCTGCCCTTATAAGGCCTCATTCAAAAGGTAGTTAGGGCTGAAACACTCCTTATTTCATGTGAATGTCAGTATGCTGAATACGTGTATACATGCAAATTCCTTGCTTTTTTGGTATCACAAAAACAATGAGCCCTTTGATGATAAACTAGTATTTGCAAGCACATAGATGATAATCACCTGATCAGACTTAAGTCTGAAGAGACTAAGAAGGAATAGACGAGGCAAATACAAAGACAACTGACACCTGCAATTTAGCACTGCAATGAACTGAGAAATAAATGACATCTGTTGTTAATTGTATCTTTTGTTATTTATGTCGGATAGAAACTTAACTTTTTCCTACTTAATATTGAAGTTTAACGTTATCAGTTACTCCGGGTCTCTCTTTGTATTTTGACGCAAAACGAGAAAGTTATTTAATGCAAAGTCACAATGCTCACACATGAACACCATACACAGTGTCAGCTGTTTGTGTTTAAAGGTTAAAAGCATATGGTCTTCAAGCCTGTATCGAATCAGTTTTCCTTCTGTGAGATCACTGTGACCATGATGCTGTAGGTAATACCCTCCAATGTTGCATTAAACATCTGTGTATGTAATTGTGGGTGATACATCAGTGACATGCAATGCTTCTTTGGTTCACGGTCCTCAAGAACAAATTTCTGCAGTGGGCAAAATTCCCTGTTTTAGAGACCAGGGGGACATTTATGAAGAGGAAGACAGTATATACTAGATTCAGGTTCAAAAGCTTACTCAGCCTCTTTGGGTTTCATTTTCATATGTAAATTATTTTGAGAATGTATCAGTATTTACTCAAATTTCCATGCTTATGTCTATGAATATTACCTTACACCACAACTGACCACAAACCCAGGTGATACAACATCATATGCAGTGTCAAATTGATGCTCCTTCTAAAGGAGCCCAGCCCCACAGGACGTGATTGAGTTATTTAATTTGATACAAAAACGATCTGTTCAAAACATTGAATTGTGAGCAAACCTCTTTAGCCTATTCAACATATAGCAGTTTAACCCCATCCATTAACATTGATGTGATAAGGAGTGTTGCAGCCTGGGCTGGTTTTCTACAAGGTACAATACAGGGCAGCCAATCAGAGCAGAGAACGTAAATCATTTTTCCATATTTAATTGGACATTGCATAAACAAATAAATAATTAATAAGAAAAAATAGAAAACTTAATATCCTGGTTGCATAAATGTACATATTTTATAATGAGGCTTTAGCTGTGTTCATAGTTAACTAATTATATTCATATATGAGTCATGTTCAAAGGAAAATAGCATACATCAAATGAACTAATGTTGATTAACTCCAAAAATAAAGTGCAGCTTTTCCTGTAGGGTTTTTTATTTTTCATCCTTCTGGGCTAGCCATGGTCCATAAGAAGTTGACTAAACGTTTATAATATAGATCAGGAGAAGGATTTAAAATAATTTTAAATGCATTCAATGTACGACAGAGCATTGTGAAAACTGTCAGTTATAGGTAGAGAACATGTGGCAGAGCTGTTGTATGGGTCAGGAGCTGATGACAGGACAGGGAAAAACCTTGCAATGGAGGCTACCAAGAGACCTACAGCAACATTAAAGCAGCTTCCAGTAGATGAGACAAAGGTTCACATTTTGGTCTTTTTAAATTCTTTTTCAATTCAATTTGGGCTGATGTTTGGCAAAACAACAACATAGCTCAGCAACTAAAAGACACCAAACCTATTGTGAAGCATGGTGGTGGATGCATTATGAATTTGGGCCATTTTTTTTTGTTTGGACGAGGACTCTTGTCAAGACTGTATAATGACTAGCTCTAAATACCGAGATATCTTGGTATAAAACCTGTTGGCCTTTTGTCATTTCTTCTTTCGACATGGTAATGAAATAAACCCCACATCAAAGCCTACTTGGCTTCAAAAAAGGAATATGTGCACTGTGGAATGGTCCAGTTAAAGCCCAGACCTGAGTCCAAAACCAGTAAATGGCCTAAAAAGGTCTGTGCATAGATCACCTGGCAATTTGAAGGAGCTTTTTTTCTGAGGAAGAATTGAGTAAAATTGTCTAGATGTAAAAGGTTTCTAAAGACTTATTTTTCCAAGACGTACTGATATAATAAACATAAAAGGTGCTTTAATAAAGTAGTTGTTGTTGGACTGTGTCCTTTTACGCAACCAGGGTATTGTAGTGTTGTAGTTTTTTCCAAATACTTATTTACAAGGTCTCGTTAAAGAAAATTGTCCAATATGAGCTATATTGCCCTGCCATTTCAATAAGGGTGTGCAGACCTTTTATATACATCATATTTGTTAGTATACTATGTTGCATGTATGTCTGGGAAGAAGATTAGACTTTGCTTTGGTTAAACTAAAATTTAAATCATAAAAAAGTTTCACTCTGGTTTTAAGTGGGCTTTGACTTTTGCTCTTTACAGGTGAGACCAAGCAGGATTCTATGTGTATACATTTGCGTGTGTAATACAATCCTCTTTACCATTGTCTTCTGTGTATCCCAAGATACAGTGACAAAGTGAATTGTGGCTCTATAAACAGTATATATGAATGATGGTCAGCTCAGTAGGAATCAGTGTGGCGTCTGTGGAGAGCTGCCAGGCTTTAGGAGGATCTGGCTGAGCTGCTGCTGAAATCAAACAGCCGTATGGTTGAGAGATCTTGAACTGAACATAGAAATAGAACACAGTGGCCCTGATCACCTACTGTTTCAGTTGTTATTTAATTTGCTCATCAGTGGAGGTCTATTGATATGAGGGCTTGACTGGTGGTCTCTGACATTTGCATTTATGGCATTTGGCAGACACTCTTATTGAGAGAAACATATGATCATAGCACTGATTGGACTCTTATTGGTGTAGTGTAGGGTGCTTGCTCAGGCAGGGGATTGAACCACAGATCCCCAGTGTGCAGGGATGGGTGTTACCCACTACACTATACCTACATCTGTCAGTCATGATATTTGTTTTAGAATGTGTACTCATGTGCTGCTTGTAGCATTTTGAGTAAATGATGCAGTTGAGTTAATACCATACTGCATATTTGTAAATAACCCAGTGATGTGTGTAATCAGAAGATTTGGACATGGACAGGGCCCATTTTCATCTGAACGTTGAGGAGATGTAGCAGGATGTTGCTTTTCCAAGGAGAAAAATCAGATAGCGAGTGCACAGATCCATCCCAAACATTACAACAAACAGCAATGTTCTCCAGTGAAACATTCACCGACATGCTGCTGTGCACAAAGACATGAGGTTTAAAATACACCTAACACCTGACAGTGGTACGTGTCAGTGGAATGTTGCTGACATGCTGCTGGTAGATGGACCAGATACCCGAGACACAACAGATCACACCACCGACTAGAAATAATTAAGCTACAGCTAAGAGAAACATTCCTGTTACACTGAAGAAAAGAAAAAAACACTCAGACAGTGAGAAGCAGTTATCACTGAATAACATCCAGCAAGCTTAAAATGACGATAGAAACATGATCTCCAAAGCTCAGTATCCCTACATTCTTAAAAAAAGATCTTCAGGGTTCTTTAGTAAAGGGAATTGTTCTATTTAGAGTTGATGGAATTCTTCTAACTAGATTTTTTAATCAGTTTTAACAGTATGGTGACATGGCTCAGTACTACAACTACTGACACTACTACAAATTAACAGAAGGGGACTTTTCATGAGTTAGGGGGAAAATAGGCCCTGCACAGTTCTATTTTCCCCCTAACTCATGAAAAGTCCCCTTCTCATTAAAAGGAGTCTTTCCATCCATCAAAGTTCTATCAACAGTTTCATCGTTTTGACTTTTTATT